TGTTTGTTTTTAAGTCACATTTAAATAATGTATGACTTATTTATATATATTTTTTATTACTTATGTGTCTAAATAATTTTGGGGCCACTGTCAATACATTCATTATGGATTAAACATTATATAATATTCATTTTCTAAGTAATCCAGGGGGTGATTTATTTATTTACTTATTTATTCATTTTTTTCAACACAAGTCATATTTAAATAATATATGAATTATTCAGATATTTTAGTGACTTAAATGTGTAAATACTTTTTGGGGCACTGTAAATACATCCATTATGGATTTAATATTATATAAACCTTATTTCAGGGGGTGATTTAGTACTTGGACAGTAGAATTAGACATTAAATTATTGAGGAAAGAGAGATGGGAGCAGGGGCAATGCAGGCCTTACTTGAACCTGCATTTCCCACGTGAGCACCATGGTTCAATGTATCAGAAGCATGAGTGTGAACCACTATGCCAAAAAGTTATTTTTGATTTATAGATTAATATAGTATATTATAGTATTTTTCCATGTATTGTAAGCTTTGATGGTTTAAAGAGATCTTATCAAAAAGTGTTCCTTCATATTTTCCTCATTTTGCCATGAATTCAGTTGAATCAAACCTCAAGTTGCATCCTACTCCTCATAAAAGACTGCCTTTTACAAGTATAAAACCACTTTGTATGTGCATGAGTTTGTGTAAGTGTCTGTCGTCCTTCCTTGCCTTTTCATCGGAATTTGTCAAAGTCAATGATAAACAGGAATGACAGCAGCGATACAGTGATATGAGCGATGAAGAGCAACCCCAGTCACACATTCATCCACAAGCACACAATTCCTGCACCAACTACTCCGACACAGATTAAATATGGATTAAGCCTATTTTCATATGAATTGTGTTATCAAATATTTCTTCCAAGGATTAATGAGATGGAGTTTTGGTGCAGTAGTATGAATATATATTTCATTTATTTGCCACCTTGTAAAACAATCACTCACTGCTCACTTCAGAAGAGAACTGTCAATTTTTTCTTCCTTGTTCTTTGTCTCTTGTCTGTTCAAGACACGTCCATCCTTAATATATACATATGCTTCTTTTTCGTTACTCTTAGATTAAAATGTTTTGAGTTTGAAGCTAATAAAATCATTGAAGCTTGACATATGAAGTTGAATGTTATTATATCAGAAGTAATTGCAGCTGAGGACACATTATTATTGTGCCCCTGGGGGCCTTTTACCCAATTTAACCTTTAGCTGCCTTTATAGTTATATGTTTTAATCAAAACAAACTTCTTTGCCATTTAATTTCTCCAGCAATTTTCAAATATATATATTTTTAATCCTCATATGCTTTGAGACCAGAAAAAAGTGTTTCTAGCACTATTGCACCCCTAAATTTGCTGTAGAAGCTTTCAAGGCATGCAGCAATAAGACAGTTGTGCCATATTTGTTCTAGATCTGAATTGTGAGTAAAAGTATGACCTTAATGCAATAATCAGACCAGCTTTCATTTTTCTTCAGTCTTGAATGCAACAGACCAGTTCTCACTTTTATTAAGGGCCTTCTGTGTGATGTTTTTGGACACAAAGAGTGTGATTAGACATGTTTCTCCCTTGGATTCGCTTTCTCTGTTTTATATCTCAGGGAAACACTAATTTTCCTTTTTCTTTGTTGTCTCAGCACAGGTGGGAGAGGGGCCTGTAAGGACATGGCTCTCTGTTTTATGTGGGTAACCTCACACAAACACAGACATACTGCACACAGCACATGAGGTTTTGTTGTTCTAATTCATCCTTTGGTGTTTTAGACGTATAGAGCTCTTCATGCACCTTGGAGTAAAAAATATCAATGCAGTCCTTGCTAATGTCATCCAGTGTTCCCACTCGCTTTGTATAAATTGATTTAATCTGTGAAAGGCTTGGTACAGATGCCTCCAAACCAGAAAGATGGCTTCAAAACATTTGCCTTCTAACTTTTTCTCTTTCCTCTGTACTCCTCTTTCTCTGTTTCATTCCCTTTCCAGTGCCTATCTGCCAAAATGCTTTTTTTTCCCTATTAAATGAGCATTCAGCAGCAGCTCCATCACACACATCCACTTAAAGGAAAAAACTGATTAAAATGAATAACTTTCTCTGTGCAAATCTGCGGCAGCCACTTATCAATCCAATTTCAGCCAATTAGACTTCTTCTCATTAATCCGCCTTCAAGGCAGCGAAGAAAGTGCAAAGAGGAATATTAAATTTGATACAACAAATATCACATGCACAGAGCGTTTGACTGAGTAATGAATGTGTGTCAGAATAATATGGGTTATGAATCTGAACATTAATGGATTAATCATTTATATGTGACAGTAAAAGAGATTTTTTTTTCTGTAAATTATGTCAATCATTAAAACTGCACATACACAGAGAAATAGTGTTTGAACGGAGCTGTTAAGATTGTGCATAAAACTGTGTGCATTTATTAACTGCGTGCAGAACCGGTAGTTTAGGTACAGGAGTTTATAAAAGTCCAAACAACACAAACTGATCAAATTTTTTGCTGGATTTGCTTCTTTTTTTTTTTAAATCCCATTGTTTAAAGACACACTTCTTTAAACAACCTTAAAGAGCAACCTTAAAACAGCACTTAACATTAAAAATGTTCAATTTCATCAACAACATCAAAGGTAGCTCAACAGTATATTATTATTAGTAGTAGTAGTAGTAGTAGTACTGTCTATTATAGTACATTATTTACATTACTTTTTAAAAGTTTAGGCTCAGTAATATTTTTTAAGAAGTCTCCTTATGTCTGCATTTACTTGATCAAAATACAGTTAAAACAGAAAAACTGTTTTCTGGTAAATATATTTTAAAACGTTGCTTATTCCTGTGATGGCAAGGCTGAATTTTCAGCGCCCATTCGAAGTCGTACGTGTTAAAAGAAATTGTCAACTTTCTTTTAACGCGAATTGTAAAATTGTAAACTTTGCTATTTTGCACGGTGTAAGTTTATTCACCTTTAAAACAATAAATCAGGTTAATTGTCAACAATGGGTTGCATGTTGATTTGAGTTTATCGCATATTTTTCTAACTTGTTCCCTTTGTCATTAAAAGGCAAATTTTCTGTTTTGCAAGAGACACAACTGTAGCAGCTGTAAAAACCCCTGCCTATGCAATCAGGAGGAAGTAAAGTAATGACTGCAGGGCTCCTGGTCCACACGCATGCAATATGCATGCATATTAAGGCTTTGTAATCTTATGTTTTTAAAGATATGGACACCTAATTTGTATGCATAGCCTTCATTATGTGAGCTGCAAAGTCTCCATAACAAACTTAAAAGATCATGAGATTTGTGTACAAGATCGTTAATGAAGAGCCTATAGGCTATAGCCTACAACTCATATTAATTTCTGTATAACTGCAAGAGCCCATTTTCCCCCTTTTTTGCTGATTCTAACATGAACCTGGCAGTGAAACTTGTTTTTGGAACGTGTGATTGTGGTCGGTGTGAATGCTCCTCTTTCTGTTTCAATGCAGGGAAGATAAGGCCAATGTGTAGCTGAGGAAGTGAGATTGTGATAGAGCTATGTATTTAAATGGAAAATGGCTGGTTTAATCCTATGGTCCAATAACCTCATTTTGAACTATTCAGTTCAATTCAATTCAAATTTATTTGTATAGCGCTTTTCACAATACACATTGTTTCAAAGCAGCTTTACAGAAAATGCATGTGTCTACATTACAAAGCAGAAGTGAATGTGTCCAAGTAATGTTCATTTCACAAATGAACAGTTCAAGATAATAGAATCATACAGCTAGCTAACATGAATTAATTTTAGGCAGAAGCTCATTAAAGCAATTATTACAAGTGTGATCATAATGATTACAATATAGAGAAATTTTGGCAGCTGTGCATGTCGATTCAAGTTGGCGTCATCTGGGGTCCTCGCAGGGGTCAGCATAATCTCTTCAAAGGAGTTGGGTCATCTGAAGTCTTTCTATGAGTCTGGATCCACGCTCGAGATGGTGTAATCTCTAGATACCTCGAGATGGGCATCCCGGGATAGAAACAGAAAGGCAGATAGAAAAGAATTAGCGTAGCTGCTGTTCATAATGTTTCAAGCAAAAAATATGTTTGTGACTTTTATCTGATCTAACTGGGAACAAGGGTGAGATTGAGATTCAGTAGAACTAGAGGACTCTGCTTTTATAGTTCCAACTCAATGCAGGTTTGCCACAGCCCATCAAAATCTCAAATACACCTTTTTTCCAGATATGTAAAAGATACTACAAATTGGCATTTTAATGGCGTTAATTTTATTATGGAATAAGTTTATTTACTTATTTTTTGTGTGTTTCTTTTAATCTAAAATTCTATATTGTCTATAAATAAGCAACATTTTTATAGGCTATAAATTAGAATTAAAGGCAAAAAAGCATTAAAATAAGCTACTTTAAACCAAGATGTTTAACAATAACTAAAAATCGAGATATGTCTTATTTTAATTTAATCCCCTCAACTGTTTTTTTTTCTTCAAGGAAAAGGGTTCCTACTGTCTAGAAAATTCTGGAATTATAATTTAAAAAGTGGGAAAAGTAATCTAAATTAATAAAATCTTATAGCTCCACGGTCATTTTTATTATGAATTTACATTTTTGTCATTGTCAGTGTCTAAAATATTTTTCGGTAGAAATTTTGAGTAAAAAAAAAAAAAAAAAGGGGGGGGGGGGTTAAAAAATATTTATTATTCCAAACAGTCAGTAAGCGACAGGTGCTTGGAAACGCTGTTTTGTACTGTAATCTAAATTAATAAAATCTTATAGCTCCACGGTCATTTTTATTATGAATTTACATTTTTGTCATTGTCAATGTCTAAAATATTTTTCGGTAGAAATTTTGAGTAAAAAAAAAAATAAAATAGGGTGAGGGGTTAAAAAGAACCACTGTCCTACAGCATTTCTGTTTAGGTTTTCCAGATGATTAAACATTTAAAAGCAACAGGAATTCTTTTATTCTTCAGATTTTGGGCCTGCTGGTATGGGCACTGATTGCAAGCACAGAGTATTTCCGATTTTCCCCATTTGGATGGGTGATGTTTGTGACTGTCTTCTATTGGCTTCTCACCCTCTTCCTTCTCATCATCAAACTGGCCAGAGGACAAATCCGACACATTCCCTGGACTACAGTGGTAGGTGCACTTCTATACAGTTCTATAGTTGATTCTTGTCTCTACAAAGCTGTAGAAAAAGGATGCCACGATGGTATGTGCAAATAGTTCTGCATTTTGATTTAGAAAAACAAGTCTAAACTTACCCAAATTATCTTAGTGACCTTCAAAACAACGTGGCTAAATGGTTTTTAAGGAACATGTTTTGCTAATTGTCTTAAATAATTGTAGCTCTGTCCCTGCCATCCCAGGTTCTCATTTTTAACTGCACTGCTGCTTTATTGTACACATCCGCTGCTGTTGTTGAGGCAACATTAGTGAACCGGGGGGTCAAAGGTCATCATGATTTCAACTGTTGGGCAGCATCGACGGTAATAATCAGTTTGAAGTACATAATTGTGTGCAAGGCTGTAAACAACATAACTTTGAGGGGAATTGATATTTGTGGTCAAGTGATGAGTTTTGAGTAGTTTTAAATCTGATAACTGATCTGCCCTAATTGATCTCCCCTGCCCAGAATATGTGGTTACATGCTTGATTGTGCGCAATGTCATTTCCAAGTGAAATCCTTTTTTTTTTTCATTTACATTGCATCAAATTTTTAACGCTTGCCTTTTTTTCTCTCTTTCCTAGTTTTTTGCATTCCTAGTATCTCTGACTTACGCTGGTAGTGCGTTCTTCAGTTACAAATCCTGGCACAGAGGAGATGAATAAAATGTTCTGGATTGTAGTTTTTAATCAAATGTTAAAATTATGACTCATCCTTAAATTGTTCAGGTATGGACTAAACTTGAAAAAATATTTAATACTGATGATTGTCTTTCATATTAAAAATTAAGAAATGTACCTTTTGCTCTGTAGCCCTATGTATTTGCAACCATTCCACACATACAGATTTGTCTAATGCACAAAGGATATTTTAATATCTTTCTCATATTTAATATGGACATGCATAACTTACATTATTTAAATTTTATTGAATGGATGCTAATAAATTATGCCGAAAATGCATGATGTTTGGACTTACCAGACTTATTATGAAAGCCTTGTTGTGTTTCACAAAGCATAAGCGCAACTCTGTGTCAAATTAAAGCTGTCATTATATTTGTCCTTTGAAAGCAGATCTCATTTATTTCTTATTTTTGTAAATGTCAAACTCATATGGCTGCACACAATAGGTAAAACTGCATAATTAAACTAGAAGAGGAAGTTTACAAAAGTGCATCCATGCACCCCATCACTGACACTAAATCAAAGGTGTGCTTGTGTTTAATACAGGAATGTGATCAGAATCAGATACATGATGAATTAATCTGTTATGTTCCAACGAATTGTGATTCACGCTCTCAGGTATTAAGGCACAGTATGACTTATGAATCATGATGTGAAATTTGAGCAACGCGAGTGATGTCGTGTCAGATGCAGTTTCCCGACCACATCATACTCGACGAGCGCGGTTGTGTGGCGTCGCGTCGTTGCAGAGTATTGTTAGACATCATCCACTAAACGATGATGGGGATTTTATTTCTGGACTACTTACGATCCAAACAAGGAGTTCTGAAGGTCGCTCAGCTCGTAAGTATTTCAAATCGACACCACATGACAGTATCAGACCACTGAACACGCCTTTCAGCGTTTCATTTTTGTCAATTATAATACCAATAAGTTATAATATGCTATTAATTGTCATTGTGAATCTTAACAGTTACTATAATACTAGCAGAAACAGCATTTTGTTTGTGTGTGCAGGTGATTCTCCTGATAGCGTTCGCTTGCGTTCGTTCCACGTGGTACAACAGCTTCTACACTTACGGTTTCTTGGAAGGAGTCACGCTCGGTTACTCCATCACGGTCGCCCTTTTTCTATTCCTGACTGTATTTGGGATTCCGAAAAGGGCATTATTTGTGAACCGGACGATAGCCGTGAGTATTGTGTTCCGCATATCTGTTTCAGATCACTATTCTTACTAAAGCTCACTTGAATAGTTGACGCGTTATCGTTCGTGGACTTTTTGATAGATCAAATCCAGAAGCTCGTGCGATTTTTAGACACTTTCCAACTAACAAGCACAGTCGTCAAGAAGTTTTTATTTTGGAATAAGGTAGTTGACCAGCTAGAAACTAGTCTGTCCAAAACTAGTTAGCAGCTTAAATGTATTTTCCAACCAGGGGAATCAAGATTTTAGTTGAACAATTGTTTAGTGTAATAATTGTCATAAAGATAGTTTAAAATTATTTGTATGGAGTAGGCCTATAGCATGTCACACTACAGGACATGTCAATTTCCCATATTTTTCCCCACTTTACATTATTCATGTTAGCTGCTACCCACATTATAAGCATGAATTTGCATAACTGTATTTGATTATGGAAATTATGATGAAGAATATTGTTCTGTTTGTTCTTCAAGGAGTTTGTGCTCGATACATTGGGATTCATCTTCATCTCCACCGGTTCCATTGTAGCTGCTGTGAAGTCTTATGACACCCCCATTCTGGTTGCCGCCTCAGTAAGGGCTTCATCACAGTTAAAAGATTCCAGTAAAATGAAAATTAAACAAAAATGTATGTCAAAGATTGGTTTTGTGGTGGTGTTCTCATTTTGCAGCATTTCATTTCAACAACTGCTTGTAATAATATTGTAAGCTTTTCTGGTGTTTGTGTTTCAGGTGTGTGGTCTTCTGGTCTCATATCTCTCACTTGTTAGTGTGATACTTTCATTTGTTGCCACTCGCCGCACACAGCCTGCGGGTAAGTTATGAGCTGTGTGTTTTCAGTGTGTATTTCAACATATTTAGATAAACTGAACATAGCTGGATCTGCAAAACATTTTCAGGCGCTTCTGGAGCCTGAACTGTTGATCTGAAATAATGTATTTCTATTCCAGGTCCACCAGTATAAAAACATTGTCTTGATGTTTATAGTGCTTCTTCTGAAATATCTAACTGCCCTCAACACATAACAGCTTGGATCGGGAATTGATAAAGGATATGGTTGTTTTAGTACATTTACATGGAACATAAAAGATTTTGTGACAATATAATTTTTTGCACACATAGTTTATTGCAGAGATGATTTTAATATTATAATTATATTTAATAGTATAAAAATCTATGATAATAACCTGCCAATAATTTACTGGTGTAAAATCTAAGAAATGGCCTTAATTTTGTTCAAATTAATGTTTTAATAGTCTCAACATTGTTTTGTTAATAATTTGTTATTTTTATCAAATGTATTATTACTAAAAATATTTTCCATAGCACTTTTGTAATTTTAGTTGGTTTGGTGGCCAAACTTGTTTTTTTTATCTAATGCTTTACGAAAGAAAAATGAATGTCGAGAAATAAAAAACAAACATACAATTTATAAAATGTTGAACTCTTGTGTAAACTGTTCCAAAGAAGATTGGTTTTTGCTGAGATCACAGACTTCCTGTGTCGTAACGGTCTCCACCCACACAAAAGAACGTCAGAGCCAGCAGCCACTCCCAATAAATACAACTTTAATAGAATGATTACAGACCTGATCCAGAGAAACATCACTACATCTTGTGAAATTACGGGACCATATTAGCGTGTTTACTTCCCCCTCCCTCTCGTAAGAAGTTCGGTTGATGACTGCACATGCAGGTGAGGGTGATCTGAGATCTCACCTGCCCTGCCACATCTGCCCCCCCTCCCTCCCTCCCTCCCTTCCTTCCTTCCTTCCTTCCTTCCTTCCTTCCTTCCATCCTTCCATCCATCCAGCAAACTAAACATTTATTTATTTATTTTAGCACTATTCACCATCATGTTGCTGTAAACACTACAAACTAAAACACTGCAAAGGTATTTTATTCAATTATTTTTATTTATTTATTTAGCAATATTTTCCATTGGAATAGACACTACAAACAAAACCATCGGGGGGTGAATAGAGGCCTCCTGTAGCAAATCCATGTGTTTTTGTAAGAAAAATATCCATATTTCAAATGTAATAAACATTTTTCTCTCACTTCCGCCATCTGTCATATGCGGAAGCCGTTCCAGCGGATGTCGTAGCACGTCGGCGTTGCGTGATTAGTGACGAATGCGGAGAGAGAACAAAACAAAACGCTGGTCACGAATTAGAAGTACAAACCGAGGATTTGCAAAGAAAAATGTCGGAGGATTTCGATATAAACCAAGAGGAGACTGCTTTTTGTTTGCTAAAGTAAGGAAACTTTGCTTCCTTTGCTCCTATAAACAAACTCGCGAGACTAGCATATCTCAGATGTGCGTGCGCTGCGCATACGTGCTGCGGAACGCCTTCCCCGTATGACAGATACCGGTAAAAAAATAAGTGTTTATTACATTTGAAATATGGATATTTTTCTTATAAAAATGCATGGATTCGCTACAGGAGGCCTCTATTCACCCCCGGAGCCATGTGAGGGACATTTTATTATGGATGCGCGCGCTTTATTTGACGACTTGTGGACTGTTCAACTGCAACACCTGCTGAGTGCAATGATAGAGCTTGGAATAGCCAGGACAATTTTTTATATAACTCAGACTGGATTCATCTGAAAGAAGAAAGTCATAAACACCTAGGATGCCTCGAGGGTGAGTAAAACACAAGCTAATTTTCATTTTTGGGTGAACTAACCCTTTAAGCTTAATCGACAGGATTTGTGGCATAATGTTACCACAAAAAATTATTTTGACTTTTATCATTTCATTCCCTTTAAAAAAATTAATATAAATAAATAAAATCAGGGTTATGGGTGAAAGGAGGTAAATTGTGTCAAATCTTGGGAGATTTTAAAGTCAGAAATGTTAAAACTTATAAAAGCACTTTTACCCCCGGTTTCACAGACAAGGCTTAAGCTAGTCCCTGACTAAAATGCATGTTTGAGCTGAGTCAATTGAAAATATCTTGTTCTGACATATCTTAAAATATGTCAGTGTCATTGTTCTGTGTCAAGATGCACACCTGTAATGTTTTCTTCCAAGGCATTTTTGTAAAAGTTGCTTAAATATCTTAATTTAACTAAGGCCTAGTCCTGGCTTAAGCTAAGCCCCGTTTGTGAAACCGGGCCTTAATCTTTTGTTAAAATTTACAAACTTTAAAGCTTTTAAAAACATTTTTGTGGTTGTTTCAGGGTTTCACGCGTTGTGTTTCCATTGTAAAATTGGATATAACTTTACACATAAAATGTAAATAATAGATAGTTACATTGGTTTTATGTTAACATGCATATTGTTCACGTTATGTGGCCTCATTCACTTCCATTGCAAGAGCCTCAATGTAACCCATATTTTTGCTTTTTTAAAGAAAAGGAGGTACAAGTCGAAATAAATATTCATGGTATTAAACATTGTGTTCAACGATTGAGATTAACTTGTATTGAACCCAGAATATTCCTAAATCAGTAACAAGGGATGGCAAATTGGCAATATACTTAAAACCAGCGTGTCAGTATTTGTGAGTCTGCGAGTGAACTATTTAGCACAGGAACAAGTGGGAAGCATAAGAAGGCACATTTGCTTCTCTTATATCAATGTTCAGAAGTTTTTGAGCTTGAAGGAGAAAAGTAAATGCAAAACATTGAAATGGAGATGAAACAATGTCAATGAACCTTCACACAGACTCACACACGCATCCAGGCTGAAAGCTGGTTTATAAAAAAAAATCCAGCCAACAGAACATTAAGCATGCAGTAAAAACTAATTGAATGTGTCACGTAGGAGAACCATCTGCGTATTTAGTGCTTTAAAAGGCACAATTCACAATGCCGAGACAAAGTTGATTCAGAAATGATCCTTTAAGCCAAACAAAAGGCTTTGATCTGATGGGAATGTTATCACAGTTTGAAGGCTTATCTTGTCTTAATTTCACTAATTATGTGCTAACAATTAGCCCTGTTGCGATTGTGGATTGTATTTGTTACTTAAATTAATTTGTAAATTAATCAGTAACTAGAAAATCATGGCTAATTTAAAGATATCCTATGACTTTAATGAGGCTTCATGCAGTGATTATCAGGCACCCTTAAACTGTGCAATTTCAAACTCAGCACGAGAAAGACAGTGTTAGTCACAATGGAGCAAGATGGGGGGCCTGAAACGAAGAGGGCAGAGACGTATAACACAGGCCAGAGTTGTAAAAGTGCTCAAAGAAATGTATTGTCGTTCTAAAAAGGAAGATGCAACAGTGGTTAAATTAAAAGCATGCAAGTGAGGGACACACACCTTAGCGTGGCCAACATCCCCTGGCTAACACACATGATGAAAGACAGTTTAAAGGGGTTAAATATTATGACTAATGAGCAAAGTGCACATGAATGTAGTTGCTCACTCATTCATACATATGTATAGAAGAAAAAATGGTTAAATAAAATTACAGTTACACTCATACATGGTAACATGGTCAAAGAAAGAAAATCAGGGCACAAGATGATGACTGGAAGAGGTCACTGTGGCCAATGAGGTACTTTACCTTTAATACACTCCCATAAAATCAAGCTGCATTATGGGTTCAAAAACAAATGAAGATGCAAAAGCACAATATGAAAGGACACGAGAGTGGGCCATAAAACCACTGCACTTGCTGTTAGTTTTAGAGCCTGTAAGGTGAATGTTATATCTGTAGAAACCCTTAGTAAGCATGCTACTGCCAAACACTTTTTTTCTCTCGTGTTCACACCTATTACTATCAAGTTCTTGCTCCATTTTAACATTTAATGGAATGTTTAATTCAAAATGAAAATTGTGTTATCATTTAATCATGTAATTTTAAACCTATATAACTTACTTTCTTTTGTGGGACACAAAATAAGATATTTTCAACTGTATTTGTCCATATAACGAAAGTCAATGGGGTCCAAAACAACCCCTATGACTTTCATTATATGGACAAAAAACACTTGAGACATACCAAAGTATCTTCTTTTGTGTTCCATATAGGGCTGCGACGATAACCGCGGTAATTAGATGCCGACGCAAATTTTTTTTTTGCTAGTGAAAGTTGCAGAAGTGCATATGGTGTGTGATATGAAATATAAACAATAATCATTGTTTGTCAATTTACTGGGGGGGAGGGGGGGGGGGTTCTACATGAATGAACAGTGAGAGCAAAGCGAATGTCACACATTTTAAACTCAACAAAATGGTAAAATGCATATATCAAGAGCATTCTCACAGATAAAAACAACAGAGAACAAAACAGCGTTGGATGAAGTGGATTTAGAACCCTGCACGGGCCTCAAATATAGGCCCTAGCCCGTATTTTTTCCCCTTTTCCCAAAACAGCTTATAGGCTACTACTGTTTCAGCTATTAAAATAGTTCAGTTTTGTATGTAATGGAAAAGTGATTATATTTCGTTTAGTTTTTTTATAAAGTTAATTTAGAAAAACTTTTGGAGCATTTTTTTGTTCCTTAAATGTAAGTTTTTGTTTTTTAAAGTAACGACCAAGCAGCAAGCGGCAGACAATGAGTTGATCATAGCTTATGTTTGATCAATTTAGCCTTCATAAATCATCACGACTTGCCTAAAATAAAATCTATAGATATAAAACAGTTCAAGCATATCACAATGTTTGTTTAAATGTTTAACCTAGATAAATGTGCACTGTTAGACGCATATCCAATCGTTTGCGGAGAGTGGAAGCTGAAGCGCGCTCTGCAGGACATGGAGTTGCCAGCGCTATCACTTGCATTTTTTTCTAACAGTGGAAACAACTTAGAATAGGCAGTCATTTTAGCTCATAAAGGTAATACGTCATTTCAAACTGTAAAGGGTCTACTTTTATTTGTGTGCACTCACAATATCAACAAAACTTTGTGCTTTTATAAAATAAAGAAAACAAACGCTTTCTGCCGTCTCTGGCTTGAACAGGAGCGCTTCACAATGATGAACCTAAACTCAACGAATTGCCTCACAGACATGATAAAGAATATATAGAAAGCTTTAAATTACTACTTTAAAACGAAATAATTCAAATCGGAAATAGAAACTCTTTCATTATGTAATCCGTGCATTTCTCTCTAAAGGCACATCTAATGAGGAGATGGCAAGTAATTTTTTTCATCACCATAACTGATGGATCTCTAAAATATAAAAATAAGGAAAAGCCTAAAAACAGGCCCGATTATAATTTGCGTTTTATAAGACACGGAGTTGACGCACAACCTAAAAAGAAAAATGGTTAGCGTCATGGAAGACAAATATAGTGCACCTGCAACACAGCAACTGTTGGCAAAGGCCACATTAATTGATCCAAGATACAGGGACATCAACCCCGGAGATGACGTTAAAGATGTGCTCCTGGAGGAGATGTTGGCAATGCCCGATGAGCGGAGTGATGGTGGGGATGGAGAAGGTGCCATGCGTACCTCGGCGGCTGGAGAGGGAGAAGAAGGACGTGCACCATCTCCTCCTCCTCCAAAAAAAATTAATCTTGCGGACCTGCTTGGAAAGAGAAAAGCACAGTCCTCCAATCCGGTCCCAAAAAGAATCCGTGCAGACACTGAAGTCGCAAGGTATTTGCACGAGGAAGCCCTCGAGCTGCACTCTGATCCGCTTGCCTGGTGGCGGGATAATCAGGCTCGATTCCCTCTTCTTTCGAAAGTTATGCAGGGCCGTTTCTAGGCATAGGCGGGCTAGGGGGTCGCCTAGGGCACCACCAGCTGAAGGGGCGCCAATGAGCGCACGTACTGGCACTTTTAGCAGGATTGTGATAAAGAGTGGCACGGTCACCCTGAAATATGACTGCCGCACCCACTGGATCCCTCAACATTATTGGGCTAGAGTACGGTCAATCTGACGATGCCTGTATGCCACTGGATCAGAGTACTGTCAATTGCTGCCTGATTGTTGCATGCAAAGTTTGCATTTGGAGCACTCAACAACGCCATTAGATCAGTGGGCTCTGTCAGTGCTTTGGCAAGGTAACACTTTTTTTTTGCCATGCAATAAAGCTAAGTTCAAAGGCCAATTTAAAATATTGGTACAGTAAATAAAGTGCACAAAATCAGTATTTTGTTTAGGCAGTATTTGTGGCACTTTTGTCCAAATATTTGTGGCAGATTTGTCCAAAAAGGTGCGCGTTTTTTGCGCCAATGCATTGTTAAAGTGTCATATAATATTCCCATATAAACTTTAACATTCATATTTGTATTTGTATAGTAAAATTAGCTAATTCACGAGATCAATACATCCTTTATTAGACCGCTTTGTCAAGTTAAATGCATCCTTACGGAGATGTCGAAATGCTGAATCAATTCATTCACTTCCAACAGCGCTTAATGGGAGCAGCGTCATAGAGGGCAGAGTGTCACGTTATTTAAAGGGGACGTTAACGCGTTAACGAGTAGCAAATGATTAAGTAGCTGCATTGGTTACTTTTATGCCACTGATAAAGCTTTTATATGTAGTTTGGGGTAACAAAGGGGTTTTATAGGTTTGACTGAAATAATAATGCAATAACTGATACTTTAAATCAATGTTTCAAGAAACAACAAAAAAATTGAACAAAAAACAGATAAAGACAAAAAAGTAGCCATTGATAATATCTAAACAATATGTAGTAGTATAGTATATAGTATCCAAATCAAAATGTAATAAAATTAATTTATGTGTGTAGAGATTGTCAAATTGGCTAGAAACGGCCCTGACTATATGTGCTACGAGTGCTCCCTCGGAGCGTGTATTCAGTGCGGCTGACAACATTGTCACTCCGTTAAGATCTTCGACTGAAACTAGCCAAAGTGAACATGTTGGTTTTCCTGGCAAGAAACTTGAAGACTGAAAAATAAAGCAGCAGGACTTGCCGATTCACTTAAGCGGCCCAGTAGTTTAACAATGATGTTCCTGATGTTCCTTTGTGTTGCACTTTGAAAAACCCAAATCAGAAAAAAAGCCTCTTTTATGCTCCACTTTAATATTTTTTTATAAATGTAGCCTTAAGTTAAATAATATTAATGATAATTTACTGTTAAATGATTAAAAACTGTTCCATAATTTATATTAAACGCAAAAGATATCGAGTTGAAAGTCGAAATAAATATATTTTTATTTTATTATTGTTAATATAATTTGCTGTTTTAATAATAAAGAAGTCTGCTTTATTATTATTATTCATTTCCATGTTCATTTACAAGCTGCATGCTTCTTAAGTCATATTTCCGCGGCGGCTGAGGGAGGGGGAGGGGGTTACGATTAACCGCCAAACCGCGGTGATTTGTTGCGTCTTCACCGCGGTAAGAAAAATCCCATACCGTCACAGCCTTAGTTCCATAGAAGAAAGTCAGTCATACAGGTTTGGAACAACATGAGGGCAAGTAAGTGAAGACAATTTTCATTCCGTTAAGGAGGTTGTGTAAGCTAATTTGCTCTGTTGAGTTTTGTGTTAGATTACTGGGTTATAACTCAGTAATCTGATGCACTGAGAAGAACAAGGATGGTGACAGCATGTTAGCTTCAATGATTAGTGGGGTTTTTAGCTGAACATGCAGATGAGATTATCAAATATATTTATTTTACCGTCGCTGATGTCAAAGATCTGGGATGGGAGGATAAAGGTGCAGGAGAGGAGGGTGATGAGGACAATATAAGGACAAACAAACAAAAAGGGAAAACGGGACAAACTTCAGTGACTTCACATGTGTACAACATGAACAAGACAAGATTTGAAGTGTTTTGAAGATAATCTCATAGACCTCCATCATTTGCAACATCAAGCTTCTATCATCTACTGTGTCAACACAATTCTTTCTAAAGGCTGCATATTTTTAATTTAAGACAAAAAAAAACACTCCAAGGCTCACAGAAACAGGGTGTTTTCATATGTTGACATGGTCAAACTACTACTTTGAAGAAACTGATGTTGAAAAAATGGTGGAGAGCCTCAAAAACAGGCCTGAGTCCAATTGGTATAATATATTAGAGTGAATTTCCTCAGATTCAATAGTTGAAAAGGTCATTTTACATGGTATGTGATTAGATTGAGATCTTGTCACCACTGAGGTGGTGTGAATGTCTCAATGCCAGTGTAACGCTACTGCTTCAGCTCAATGCTAGCGTCCTTGAATTAGATGATTACTGTAAATAACACATTCAGAGTTCCAGTGAGAGAAAAACCAGATTAACAAAATAAAATGTCATTTTCTTCTCCATATAATGTATTAAATTCATCTAAATTTTGTAAACTTACTGATGAAAAAGTTCATAATGGATTTTCTGATTTTGTTAATGATAATAAAGGTGAGATAGTGGATACATTTTAAAATTTATATATTAATATCAATCTCACCTCAATCTGTATTTCGCATAAAATTTAAGGCATTAATGTTTGCCTACAAATTAAACCACCACTGGCTCGGCACCCCTTTACCTAAATTCATTACTTCAGACTTATGTGCCCTCTAGAAGCTTGCGTTCTGCAAGTGAACGTTGCTTTATTGTGCCATCCCAAAGAAGCACAAAATCACTTTCACAGACTTTTACATTAAATGTTCCCTCCTGGTGGAATGAGCTGCCCAACTCAATCCCAGCAGCTGAGTTCTTAGCCATCTTCAAGAATCGGCTAAAAACACATCTCTTCCATCTTTATTTGACCCTCTAACTCTAGCACTCTCTATTCTAATTCTATTCTTTATAAAAAAATAAAATAAATATAAATAATAACTAGCCCCTTTTAGACTTGCACTCTATTTATTTACTAACTGATTATTTTCTTTAAAAAAAAACTAACAACTAACACTTGCTTCTCTAATCTTTTTGCATTCTAGTTGTTTTCTTTTTATTTATTATACAATTATAATTCTGACTTCTGATTAACAAAAGCAAAAAAGGCATCTAACACTAGCTTGCTCTATTCTATGTTTTCTTTTTATTTATTATATGATAAAAAAAAAACTTCCTACATGTACTGCATTAAGCTCACTGAGATTGCACTTTTGTTGATTTTGATTGCTTCTATTGTCCTCATTTGTAAGTCGCTTTGGATAAAAGCGTCTGCTAAATGTAAATATATATATATATATATATATATATAAAATGTCTGAATATTTCTCATCAACTAAAAATTATATGCCATTTTAGCTCAGTAGAAATTACTAAAAACAATGAAAATGACATGACAAAATGCTGACTAAATTTAAAGAATATTTTATTAAAAATTACAACAACAAAAAATGTAATAAACAGCAATTTCAAGAGGGTCCTTACACCATCAGTGCTGACCTAATAAAGCTAAATGCTGTTTGCTTTATAGTATATACCCTACCGTTCAAAAGTTTGAGGTCAGTAAGATTTTACTTTTAATAAAATTTCATATTGGTCAATGAAGTTGTGAAAATACAAAATTGTTTAATCCTGCACGATGGTACTGATAGGAGTCAACATGCCACCTCATACCATGTAAAACAGGTTTTATATAAAAATGTCTTGTTTTGAAATACAAAACTCAAACTCTCCAAGTCAAAACACTTCAAATTCACCATGATAGTGGACATAGATATGAATAAAGGGGTTATATTGTCACAGAGGATCGCTCACCTGACTTGCGGACTGTTCCTGGCGTGTTGCTCCCTCCTCCTGTGGGTTGGCCGCCCGGGCCGGGTGAGCCTGCTTTCTTAGTCAACAGACTGTTGAAGAAGTTAGCTAGCACGCCCTCGCTGGTCTGACCTCCTGCCACAAGAAATGACAATAATTAGCACAAGCATACAAGCTGAAACTCTTGGAGATACTAGCCTAAACTAGTTTCAGGTCAGTGCAACACAGTAATATCTACCAAACCCTAAGCTAGAATTAAAAACGTGTGCAAAGGAAAAAGCCGAAATGTAAGTCTGAGAGAAGTTCAGCAAGGAAACAGGCTTTAATCCCAACAAGCTCTACTAATCCTCTCCAAACATGCCAGCAATTATTCTATGATCTGAACCTATGAGAGTAAAGTCCTCCGTATCTACACACAGGAAGAGTCCTGAAACAGTCAAAGTGTCATTCATGATCAGTGCTTCCTAAAGTAAACAAGATTTTCTCCCATAAGTCTATACACAATCTTTGCCACATGAATGAAGATGGGATCTCATGTTGATGGTCACATTCTTCCCAAGATGAGAGAGTGGTGAAAGCCATGAAACCAGATCCAGAGACTGGATTAAATAAATCCCCAAGAACTAGAAAGGTGTGACTCCAAAAGCTGTTGCTCCCAGTAGTTGGAAAGATGCAGCCGAGGAGAGACAGTACAGGAAGGAATGCAGAAGGAAAGAGACCGAGAAAGATGGAGAGGAAACGGAGGCATGAATCCTGAATATGGCGCACTCATACACACCTTTCATGTTGGGATCAATCTTCTTGGTACCTGATTGCATGGGCATGACGTTTGCCACATTAGCTGCCGCTGAACGGTTAATGTTTGCATTCCCTCGCAAAACTTTTGCATTCTTTTGCAAAGATATTTGCATTCTTTCGCAAAAGTGGAGTTCCGACAAACACTTCCCGTTTAGGATACTTTACAACATGCAGTGGTTCATACAGCTTTGAATGTTCTCAATGGAGCAGTTCATAGAGTTTTATTTTGAACTTGGATCAAGTATAAAGAAATACAGTCAGTGCTTAGTTCTTTGCACGGCCTTAATGTGGCTTAATGTACTAAAACAGTGACAGTGGAGGACCAAATTCTGTATTAATGATATTTGCATTCTTTCGCAAAAGTGGAGTTCCGACAAACACTTCCCGTTTAGGATACTTTACAGCATGCAGTGGTTCATACAGCTTTGTATGTTCTCAATGGAGCAGTTCATAGAGTTTTATTTTGAACTTGGATCAAGTATAAAGAAATACAGTCAGTGCTTAGTTCAAGGCACGGCCTTAATGTGGCTTAATGTACTAAAACAGTGACAGTGGAGGACCAAATTCTGTATTAATAATTACCATTAATACTAGTAACACTATTGATATTAATAACCTTATTAACAATATTACTATTAATAAAGCAGAATAGCCCAGAATTTTAACGCAATGTGCTAGTGCACGTTTAGTTTTTTTTCTCCCCTATAGAAAACGCTTAATGGACGAAGACCAAATCTGGTATATTAATAAAATATATTACGCAGCACAGAAATGAGCCCAGAATATGGAAGGAATGTGCAAAGTTTCACGTGTTTTATCCCCCGTAGAAAAAAATATTATAAAGAAAACTGTGGCTTAATGGATTGCTTGCCTGACCTAATGATCTTTTCAATATTTTTTAAAAACATACAATTTGGGCTTTTTGTGTTATCTTATATTAAGCCAGCACGGGAGAAAATGCGTTTCTCGTGCAATTCAGCTAATAATTTGGGCTCATCTGCTTGCATGTACCCTCCCCTATAGAAAACGCTTAATGGACGAAGACGGTGCTATAAAAAGACCAAATCTGGTATATTAATAAAATATATTACGCAGCACAGAAATGAGCCCAGAATATGGAAGGAATGTGCAAAGTTTCACGTGTTTTATCCCCCGTAGAAAAAAATATTATAAAGAAAACTGTGGCTTAATGGATTGCTTGCCTGACCTAATGATCTTTTCAATATTTTTTTAAAACATACAATTTGGGCTTTTTGTGTTATCTTATATTAAGCCAGCACGGGAGAAAATGCGTTTCTCGTGCAATTCAGCTAATAATTTGGGCTCATCTGCTTGCATGTACACAGTATATATTGGTAATAATTTCTATAGCATATTTGGTCTTTTCTTTATCACCGTCTTCATTAAGCCACGTTAAGCGTACGTCTTCTATATGAGAGGAAAATGCTTAACGTGCAATTTAGCGCTTTCTGTTCATATTCTGGGCTTATCTGCTTTCCTGTAGGCTATGTAGTATAATTTATTAATAAACTGTAAAACCGTGACTCGAACTAAGGACTGACTATTTCTTCAGGCTGTATGAACCACTGCAAGCTGTAAAGTAAACAGGAAGTGTTTGTTCAAACTCAACTGGTTTTGCGAGAGAACGCAAATATCTTTGCGAGGGAACGCAAACGTTTTGTGAGAGAATACAAATATCTTTGCGAGGGAACGCAACAGTTGAGAGAGAACGCAAAAGTTTTGCGAGAGAACGCAAAGTTTCTCGGGGGAATGCAAAAGTTTTGCGAGAGAACGCAAAAGATTCTAAAAAAAAATTTATTTCCTCCCACCCCATATTTTTTCCACCACCATGTCCCTTTAGGGGCTCCGTAGATTTATAATGTTTACTGTTTAATGAGATTTATCATTGAGATTTCTATTTCAAAGAAATTTGTTCTTTCAAATTTTCTATACACCAAACAATCCTGAAAAATGTATCACAGCTCCCACAAACATTTTTAGCAGTGCAACTGTTTATAACATTGATAATAATAATAATAATAAATATTGAGCAGCAAATGAGCACATTAGAATGGTTTCTGAATGATCACGTGACACTGAAGACTGGAGTAATGATGCTGAAAATTCAGTTTTGACAACAGGAATAAATTACACTTTAAAATATATTAAAATAGAAAACAGTTATTTTCAATTGTAATAATCTTTCACTATATTACGGTTTTTACTGTATTTTCTGTTAAATAAATGCATAAGACTTCTTAAAAAATCTTAATGATCCCAAACTTTTGAAAGGTAGTGTATAAATGCATGCAGTTTTGTGACATGTAATTAAAATGTGTCTACAGGTGATTTGAGGCAGCCGCTGTACCTTAGTGCAGACCACCACTATAGGCAGGCCCAGGTTGTGTGTGAGTGCATTGTCTCCCAGCGGCAGCAGGACGCCCTCTTCTTCTGACTCAGGATTCCTTCTCTGGGGCACAGCATCCAGGTCACTTCCTGGTTCCACATATTCCTGAAACTGCTTCACCACTGCATACATACAGTATTTACCCACTGCAAACTATTCATGCAAGTATAAGAACTGTCAACACCGCCTGCAGAGATATATAGGACTATCACAGATCAAAATGCATCCCCACATTACCAGTCCTACAGGGTACTTAGCATGTGAACACACACACACAAAGACACTACTCACATCTGTGCTCCAGCTCTCTCATGGTTTCAGGGGGAACTCTGAGCTTGTCCACAAAATCCCTCACAACACTGCCCCATTTCTGCAGCGAATCGAGGGCCAGCCAGGGCCGGGACAGATCAACCACAAATAGAACCAGCGAGTCCTCCAGGTTCTCCGTCGATACGGCGAATTTCTGCAGGCCTTTGTGGTACAGGTCCCCATCCAGCACCCATGCATTACACCGTGCATGATCTGACAAAAAGAGCTTGATTAGATTTAGCGCGTCTTTATTAAATTACCTACTGTTGGTCATTAGGCTGCCTCTGTAGTAAGAATGACAAATGTCACTGATAACTATGCTTGACTGCTTGTTGGCAAAAGAATATTATTAAAAATAGTATTTATGCTTCAAGTTGACTTAAAACATGCTTAATGATGCATATAGTAATACATTATTACAATCAAAATTTGTATTTGTTAACATTAGTTAATGCACTGTGAACTAACATGAACAAACAATGAATAACTGTATTTTCATTAACATTAACAAAGATTAATAAAAACTGTAACAAATGTAGTGTTCATTGTTAGTTCATGTTAGTTAATACTGTACATTAACTAATGTTAACAAATGGCACCTTATTGTAAAGTGTTACCTCAGTACTCAATTATGGCATATTTTCTTATTCACAGCCAACACTTTTCCAATGCAATAAAGGATGTAACCAATCTACTAACCTAATTACTAAAACACTGCTTCAAAATGCTGCAGTGTTAAAAACCATTCAACGAATTGATTGGTTGTAGTGGATCACAACCAGCTTCTCTAATTCAGTGTCATTTAAGGTTACACATCTAACATTGGTCTACAGTGGGTGTAGAAAAGAATCACCGCTTTAAAATAATCACATTTTGTTGCTTTGCAGCCTGAAATGAAGACACAGTTTTTGTTTTATCCAGCTGTATTTACTCAGTGCAACTTATAGCATCCAAGTGAAAGATAACACCAACATGTCAGATTTTTTTTTTTTAGAGAATCAGAGGCTGCGTTTACACTTGGCATTAACATGCGATCACCGTGATCTGATCAAGCAGATCGGATCATCAGTCAATCAGAACACGCCGCGTTTACACTTGGCAACATCAGCTGACTTCTTTATCTAGATAAACGATCAGATCTGTCTTTCCTGCGCAATATTTAAATAAGTCTGCAGAGAATGGACCAGTGCAAAGTCAACCTGAAGTGGTGGGTTTTCTTTTGAAAAGCATTTTCAGTCGCGGGACATTTTACAAATCAAAGATAAGTGTAGGAGTTTCACTAGCGCGCCACACAGGTGTTCTCCCCCTTTTTTCTGAGTTCGCGAGAGAGGGGGCGGCGTTTTGCATGATGTCGACCTGCAAATGCAGACACGATGGCTGGATTGCGTTTACATTACACTGAGATCCGATCACAATGCCTCCTCGACAACCTCTGGACCAGGACACGCTGATCGGATAACATTCCAATCAGAAGAGTGTTTATACTTGTCTTTTCAATGTGTATGTGGACAACATCCGGATACAGGTCGCATGTTAATGCCAAGTGTAAATGCAACCTATGTTGGAAAAAGGATCAGCCCCTCCTAAAAATGACTTGTAAACGCATTCAGGTGCAGCTAATCACCTTCTCAATGGCACAAAAAGCCATTTGACTTTCCACTGTGATCAGCTGTGGTCATTTTGATTAGCTCAGCATGAAAAGAGCTTTCCTGCAGCATTTCAGTCCTTGGTAGTGCAACTGAAGCAAACAATCAACTACGGGTGGCAAGGGACTGTCAAAAGATCTCCGGTATAAAGTTGTAGACAGGTTATCGTTTTTTAACACTAAACGATATGTCTAGTGGAAATCCAATACAGCTCACCATCCAAATAAAAGCCTTCCTACAGTAAAGCATGGCGGTGGTAATATCCCGTTATAGGGGGTGTTTCTCAGCAGAAGGGACTGGAGCACTTGTCAGGATAGAAGGAAAAATGGATGGGGCAAAATACTGTCAAATTCTTGAGGAAAATCTGCTGCCCTCTGCCAGGAAGTTGTCAATGCGAAGAAGGTTTACCTTCCAACATGACAATGAACCAAAGCACACAGCAAAACTGAGCTCACAGTGGATGAAGGAGAAAAAGGTGAACGTCCTTGCATGGTCTAGTCAGAGCCCAGACTTAAACCCCATGAAAATCTGTGGAATGACTTGAAGACTGCAGTCCACAAACGCTCACCATCAAATTTAACTGAACTTGAGCAGTTCTGCAAAGAAAAGTGGGCAAATATTGCAAAATCTAGATGTGCAAAGTTGGTAGAGACTAATCCCAACAGACTAAAGGCTGTAATTAAAGCAAAAGGTGGTTCAACAAAATACTGACACAAGGGGGTGATCCTTTTTCCAACTCATTGATTCTGTTTTTTTATGTCTTGTTGGTGTTATATCTTTCACTTGGATGTTATAAGTTGCAATGAGTAAATATAGCTGGATAAAACAAAAACTGTGTCCGTCTTCATTTCAGGCTGCAAAGCAACAAAATTAGAATTTTAAAGGTGGCCGATTCTTTTCTATACCCACTGTATATATTGCCAGTCTCAAACTGTAGACAATGGTTTAATATTTACCATCGATATCATCATCGTGAACATTGAAATACAGGTACTCTAAGCCCCGGCCCCTCATGTACTCTTCTACACCTTGTAGTTTGGCCACCAGGGTGGTTTTACCAGACCCCACCTCACCTGTAACACAAAACAGATTAACACACCAACAAACAATTTAAAAAAATTAAGATACATTTGGATACTGAAAAAAACATATATAATGCATATTTGATTATGGTTATATATATGATTATTTTTTATTAATTTGATTATGAAATAATATTGATTGGTTATATAATAATATATATAAATAAACATATATAGTATATAATAATGCTGCATTTCGCTCTTCCGTTTTTACATAAATAATTTATGCAATTAATAAATCAGGTGAACTGAGAATTGACGGCAGTGTTTTTAAAGCATTTAAATAATGAAAGAATATGTAAAAATTAAAGCGCATAAATAATCTTTAAATATATAAATAATCTACAAAAAATAGATATAGTTTAAAAATATATTTTTCATTTATGTAGTTTGAGAATTTAAGGAATTAATGTGAATTCATATATTTGTCAAGACAACACATTGTGATTTTATATCATAATTAAAACGGGAAAAAGGCATTGTTTTATTAAGCTCCAGAAAGTTCAATAAAACTAAATTATCTTAATATGGAGAATAATAAATGATATTAATAAACAAGTATTTTTTTGAAAATGCATACAGTCAACAGAGTTTGCATGGCTGTTTATCATGTCTGACGCCCTATGAGTAAAGCTCACGCACTGAGGCAGCAAACACGAGCCAATCACTGGCTGCGTCTCAAAAACTAGTGAGCTGCCTACCCAGACAGCATTTTCAGGCATCATAGACGGATAGACAGCACTTTCTAATATGCATATCATCCACATACACAGACTGTTTAGTATCTAATATAGTTCAAATGAAGCATTTTGTTCCTCGCAACACGCATATGTTGCTGTCTAAGTAGGCGGTACGGTAGGTTTTAGCACACGGCCCCTGTCTGAGAGTGCGGATTATCTCTATTCTCCAAACCCGACAGTCCGTACCATACGCAAATCGTTAAGACGAAATAAATGTCCGAATATAAAAACAGTACGCGGCATGCACAAATGTGTTTTGTGCGCGTGGTGTCTGACCGCGACGACTGGAGACAATGACATGTGGCCAATAACAATAACAGCAGCACGCTTACAATCACATCAGTGCACATATAGAGCGAGCGATCGGTACGTACAACCCGGTTCAAACCCTTGCATGCAGTCAACACTGTATGCTATTTAATAATAAGGAAAGCTTGGATGCAGCTCAATAGGATGCACAGCAGCATGACACACAGACTGTTTAGTATCTAATATAGTTCAAATGAAGCATTTTGTTCCTCGCAACACGCATATGTTGCTGTCTAAGTAGGCGGTACGGTAGGTTTTAGCACACGGCCCCTGTCTGAGAGTGCAGATTATCTCTATTCTCCAAACCCGACAGTCCGTACCATACGCAAATCGTTAAGACGAAATAAATGTCCGAATATAAAAACAGTACGCGGCATGCACAAATGTGTTTTGTGCGCGTGGTGTCTGACCGCGACGACTGGAGACAATGACATGTGGCCAATAACAATAACAGCAGCACGCTTACAATCACATCAGTGCACATATAGAGCGAGCGATCGGTACGTTCAACCCGGTTCAAACCCTTGCATTCAGTCAACACTGTATGATATTTAATAATAATGAAAGCTTGGATGCAGCTCAATAGGATGCACAGCAGCATGAAACGGCATTTTTGTGTGACAGAGGAAAAAACACCCACCCATAACCACCACATTCTTTCCTGACGGCAATTTTGATCGGGAGCGCGTCGACACCTCACTCAATATCGATGACCTGAACGTAGAGGAACACAGGGTGGCATTAGCTGTTAAATCACAATGCTTTATAGAATATGCATCACTGCGACCATTGATTCAGGCTGGCCTGTGTGTACCTGCCCGGCTGGGGCAATTTGCAAGTTAGCGGCTAACAACTGTCACATGCGGCTCTGAGCCACCTAAAGCCGCGTTCTGCACATACAGTCGAGATTGAATGGGGGATAAAAGAACCGGCTAGGCCTACCATAAATTCTGTCCGTCATCCTCCTCGTTATTTTGGCTTTCGGAAGTGCTGTTATTTACATTTGTGCTAACCGATAGGAGTGTATTTCTGCCCGTCGTCGCCATCTTCGCAGGCTTGAGTGACACCCCTGAATGAGCCCCGGATGTGTCGCACAGAGCCGAGCGTTGCTTTTCTACTGGGCGTGGACCACTGCGAGCCGCAGTCACTGTCCTAAAGCTCAGGGTAACAAAATAGAATAGAATAGAATAGAATAGAATCTTTAAAAAGGTTCTGTATTAGCATCTATGGTTCCATTATAATATCCATGTCAATTTTCAATTGCACAAAAGTATTTTTAGAGGAAAAAGCTTCTTTAGATTATTAAAATGTTCTTCACACTGAGAAAAATTGATCTTTTTTTAGTGAACATTTCTTTGAGGAACCCAAAATGATTCTTCTATGGCATCACTGCAAGAACCCCTTAGAACCTTTATTTTTGTAGAATAGAATAGAAACGAAAAGAATAGAATAGAGTCTTTAAAAAAGGTTCTTTATTGGTATCTATGATGGGAAAAATAGAAAATCATAAATTATAAAAAGATGTTTAATTTAATATAATATAAATATACGCCTCTCAATTCACTATATTTTTAACCATCCATGGAATGAATACAAATAAAAACAACAAACCACTGAGTCTTAATAACACCTTGAATCAAAGCTCAGGATATCAGAATAGAATAGAATATAGTTATATATTAGAATAGTGCAGAATTGAAAATAATTAAATATAATAAGGTTACAATAAAATAGAATAGAATTATAAGCCTCTCAAATCAATTTAAAAAATCCATGGGATGAATATGAATGAATTCAGAATAAAACCATTGTATTAATTGGATAAACAGAGAAGTGTTTTTATGCAAAGATTCCCAGAGAAGTGTGAGGACATTTGAAATGTAAAATCATCACAGAAAGAAAAAAGAAAGAAAATATGAATAGAATAGAGTTAAAACGTCACATTAAAAATTTGAAAAAGATGCTGGTTATATCAGTAGCAGCAAAAACTGTTTTAGTTTACACCTCATGGGGGCAGACATGTTGAGATCACGTGATACATTTAATCTGGGTAATCCCTGTTATTGAGTGTTTTTGCTCACGGAATAAATTAATAATGGAATGAGAAATCTATTATTTCTACAGCAGCATCTGCACTGTATACTTCTGCAAGTTGACTGACTGCCATACCAGCCTGCAGAATATAAAAATCGCACATTTAATTGTACTGGATCATTCTTCAATCCCACTGAAATTGTTATGGACCCCAGGAATCGTGCCAACCCTTCACCCCACTAGCTAATGCAGAGGTCTCCAAGCTCGGTCCTGGAGGGCCGGTGTCCTGCAGAGTTTAGCTCAGACTTGCCTCAACACACCTGCCTTCAAGTTTCTAGTATGACGTAATGTAATGTTTAATGCACTTTTTGTTGTTAACAACAAATGGAAAAGATTTTCTTTTTCTTTGGATTTTTATATCAATATGGTTCAAGATTATACTTTTTAAATCAATGCCATAAGCAAGTTAGGTCAAAAGTAATCTAAAAGTAATCAAAAGGTAGTCTGATTATATGACCTAAAATGTGTAATGTAATGGATCACGTTACTAACTACGATGTGATTTGGAATCGGTAACAGACTACAATTTGTAAGTGATTTGTATATACAATTTGTATACCCAGCTCTGCTCGTATCCGCCTGCTCACCAATCTCACACCAATTGTAATTTACTAAAGTAACCGCCAGAGTGCAGGGTTACACAGTGTTCGCACCCTGCACTTGCTCTCCAGTTCTCACAGCAGAGGATTAAACAGTGAAGTTAAGTGGAGTGCGCGCGCCTGCCCTGCTCTTATGTTGAGAGAGGAGACTGCGGGTCGGACTATCCATCACCTTTAACGCTCAGCCCGATGGAGCTGCTTTTATCACCGTAGACAAATTGGACATGGAATCGAATGGAAAATGAGTCCAGTGCATAAACTGCACTCAGCACGATCTTAACACTGAGGGAACTTTTTCTAGCGTCGCTTGGGATTTGTTCTTATACTTAAACAGCAGGTAAGTTGTATCCCTTTAATAGCAAAACATCGTAACGCACTGAATTTGGTGATGTTTTACGCATTGATGGAATAATCATTTTACCTCACAGTTCAATGCATACGAGGCCAAATAAGTACATTTATGAATACATTTGACATTTTATGCCTACAGAAGAAATATTACTATTTTAGCAGTGTTTTTGAAAAAGATTTCGGACTTGTACAGTTTGAATCCCATTGTGGTGCCGCTGATTGGGCGCATTCGTAGTAAATGTTACTGTAATATTCTCTGTACTACACAATAGATTACAAGATCGTAGGTGGCCAATCTAGTATTTAAAATTTGAACTGTTGTTTATGGGTCATTAAAATAAATTTTAAAAATGTCAAAAATGCACAAACAACTGTCTGAATGAACCTTATCTGTGATAAACTTAAAATTTAAATTAAAAGTCATTCTGATATTTTGTATGAAGCTAAAAAGTGTACACGAAAAAATACCTAGGTGGTGTAACTGACAGAAAACCAAGAAAGAAGCCGCACTGAAACTCTTTTTGTCACACATTAGACACTTTGTTTATTTTTACAATTTGTTCACTTTTTCTAAGTAGTCATACAAGTAGGCTATTGATTTACTACTTTTGATGACTGTTGATGATTGCTTCACTGGATTCATTTAGCTGTGGTAGCCTAGAATACATTTTCTGCGGAGAGGTGAGAGTTTGTAAAGGTTTTGATGTAATATACATACAGTGGTGGATCTGCATCTGTTTTCTATGTACTTTTGTACCTCAAATTAACAGCATGAAAACTAGGCCATTGGTCCACATGAGGCTGTCCAGCAGCAGGCCCCACATGAACACTTGATTATTCATCATATTACAGGAAACTTCATGCTTTCCATGATTATTTAAATACATGCCATGCAAATACATTGGAGGAGCACAGCAGTACATGAGCAATAGGTGAACAACTGCATGGGGGCTATTCACATGCAGTCACCTCTATTAATTTGGCCAGGTGCATTAAAATACTGCACCAAAGTGGGACGTTTAGGATTGCTTGCAAGAACTCCTAGGGGTTGCTAGCAATAGTTTTGTCCATCTTGCAGGGCTATAAGGCTCTGAAGGGTTTCAGCCGCCAGTAACGGCATGTCGGCCTCTTTTATCTAAAAATAACAATAATGATAACAAAAAAAATGTGGCACTCAAAGGAAGCAGAGGGTATTAATAATTGAGTAACACACAGAGATACACGTTCTCTGTGGTATGGTCTCAGAGTATTGGGGTCAACACTTCGCTCTGTGTTCCAGGGAATCTCTCCCACGAGGACTACGCTGAGCTCATTCCACATGGTGCCTGATGGAAGAGCAATTTCATTATAAAGCAACGTTATCGGGGTCTCTGACTTAACAAGTCACCCGTTTTCTATTTTAATCAACACACTTATCATGCTCGAACTTGTCTATTCAAAAGTGTAACATAATTAATTCAAATTATTTCAAGGATTGCCATCCTCTAGAGCAGGGGTGGCGAACTCCAGTCCTGGAGAGCCGCAGCCCTGCAGAGTTTACCTAGGTGGTGTAACTGACAGAAAACCAAGAAAGAAGCCGCACTGAAACTCTTTTTGTCACACATTAGACACTTTGTTTATTTTTACAATTTGTTCACTTTTTCTAAGTAGTCATACAAGTAGGCTATTGATTTACTACTTTTGATGACTGTTGATGATTGCTTCACTGGATTCATTTAGCTGTGGTAGCCTAGAATACATTTTCTGCGGAGAGGTGAGAGTTTGTAAAGGTTTTGATGTAATATACATACAGTGGTGGATCTGCATCTGTTTTCTATGTACTTTTGTACCTCAAATTAACAGCATGAAAACTAGGCCATTGGTCCACATGAGGCTGTCCAGCAGCAGGCCCCACATGAACACTTGATTATTCATCATATTACAGGAAACTTCATGCTTTCCATGATTATTTAAATACATGCCATGCAAATACATTGGAGGAGCACAGCAGTACATGAGCAATAGGTGAACAACTGCATGGGGGCTATTCACATGCAGTCACCTCTATTAATTTGGCCAGGTGCATTAAAATACTGCACCAAAGTGGGACGTTTAGGATTGCTTGCAAGAACTCCTAGGGGTTGCTAGCAATAGTTTTGTCCATCTTGCAGGGCTATAAGGCTCTGAAGGGTTTCAGCCGCCAGTAACGGCATGTCGGCCTCTTTTATCTAAAAATAACAATAATGATAACAAAAAAAATGTGGCACTCAAAGGAAGCAGAGGGTATTAATAATTGAGTAACACACAGAGATACACGTTCTCTGTGGTATGGTCTCAGAGTATTGGGGTCAACACTTCGCTCTGTGTTCCAGGGAATCTCTCCCACGAGGACTACGCTGAGCTCATTCCACATGGTGCCTGATGGAAGAGCAATTTCATTATAAAGCAACGTTATCGGGGTCTCTGACTTAACAAGTCACCCGTTTTCTATTTTAATCAACACACTTATCATGCTCGAACTTGTCTATTCAAAAGTGTAACATAATTAATTCAAATTATTTCAAGGATTGCCATCCTCTAGAGCAGGGGTGGCGAACTCCAGTCCTGGAGAGCCGCAGCCCTGCAGAGTTCAGCTCCAACCCTAATTAAAACTCACCTGCCTGTAGCTTCCTAGTAACCCTTCAGACCTTGATTAGCTTGTTCAGGTGTGTTTGATTAGGGTTGAAGCAAAACTCTGCAGGGCTGCGGCTCTCCAGGACTGACGTTCGCCACCCCTGCTCTAGAGACTACAGTGTAAAAATGTTTTGTCAGCTAACCTATAAAACATACTTCACCCGAACATAACTGGTTTTAAGTTCAAAAATATTGTTTAATATCAACCATGAGACTGCACCAATGGAAGCATTTTTTAAGGGTCAGATGAGGTACGTAACCATCGAGTGAACAAACAAAAAGTGGGGCAGTATTGTTAGATTCGTGATGGTGCACTTAGTTTTTTGTGATGCCATGATCCTAACAAACAAAAAATATATTAAAATAATAATATATTAAAAACAATATTTAAAATAACTCAAAATTAAAAAAAAAAAAGTTTAATGTAATTTGGTGATTGTGGATGTTTTAACATGTTTTGTGTGTGTTTTTTTTTACTGGTTAGCAAGTTTAGCAACTATGTTTGCTGCAATGTAGAACTACAGAACATTGTCATAATACATTTCTTCTTTGAAAAGTGATAAAAGTTAGAATTTTGTTGAATTAGATCTGTGTTATTGCCGGAAAAGCATGTCACTTTAGTCTTAACATGGTCAAGGTGTTTTTTGAAAAATTATAGCTGGTTTATTTTGATCAAGGTACCAGGTCAGTCTCTGGCTGACCAGCTGATGATCTATCATATACATCAGTCTACATCATGACCATATGAGCAGCTTGCACCAGCTAAGCACCATGTAAACCATCAGAAAGATGATCCAGAGGCTACCAATGTACATTAATGGACACTAATGTTCAAAAATTTGGGGTCAGTCAGATTAAAAAAAAAAGCCTTTTATGATCATCAGTGCTGCATTTATTTGATCATAAATACAGTAAACTGTATGTTTTGAAATATTATTGCATTGGTTATTTGTTACGTCAAGAAACACAAACTGCATTAAACTTGTTGTTCTGCTGATTTTTGTGGAAGCCATGATACAATATTTTTCATGATTCTTTGATGAATAGAAAGTTTGGATTTTTCAGAAAGTTCAGAATAGATTTTTTTTTGCAACAGTGTAAAAGTCTCTATTGTCACTGTTGAGCAATGTAATCCATCCTCGCTAAATAGAAGTATAAATTTCTTCAAAAATATTTGAATGCTATTGTATCTCATATCTGTTCTATATCATGTTTTTACGTTTTAACTAAACATCTTTTCTTTCGCAGCTTGAACACAAAATGAGTAACATCTACGAGTCTGCTGCCACCACGCTGGGCCTCTTCAACAGCCCATGTCTGACAAAAGTGGAGCTCCGTGTGGCCTGTAAAGGAATATCTGACAGAGATGCCCTGTCCAAGCCTGACCCCTGCGTCGTCCTCAAGATGCAGTCCCACGGACAGTGGTTCGAGGTGTGTTCGTGTTCAGGTTTTGTTTTCTCTTGCACAAACAGAATGATGTTTTTCATGAAGGAACATCTCATTTTCACCTGCACAAAAACACAATCTATCGTATATGTAGGCTTCTTTTCATAACAGTTTTCAATGGATTTTTTCATACATCATTTCAAAGAAACAGCTGTTTGTGTGTTACACCCTAGATATTTCATCCACTCACAAACTCCCTTTCCTCACTTTGAAATTGCTGTGCATGTAGTGACTTTTTAGCAAACTTCTGATATTATAGTAAGTTTCCGAGCATACAGTACTTTAGTAATAATCCTTTCACAAACACTAATCTGGACTGAACAGAAGCTACCAGAAGAACTGTCTCTTTATGAAACTGAATGTGTTCATGCATGTGTGTATGCCTGTCAACGGCTGATTAGTGTTCTGAGACTGTAGTCTCAGCTGTGATGCTGTGATGTGAAAGTAATATAAAACAGCACCGTTAGATCACAGAAAGTGCTCTAATTGTCACATTGTCTTGTGCCTCGCTAATAAAACCAAAGACAAGGACGTGCAGTGCTGCAAAAACTAATGTGAAGTGGCCTGTTCGTTTCTGCTAGGTATCTGTGAAAGGTTTCAGTTGCAGTACAAAACAGGTGTTTCTGGCATACGGGGTTTTGCTTGGCACGGTTAAGGGTACGATCCATAATTAATAAAGCAGTGCTATTTGAACTCCAGCTGTGAGCAGTGAAGTTAAAAAAAAAAGTGATGTGTTTGAAACCATATAAGTGGGTTGAAGGCCAGCAGTCTGGAGAATCTCACGAAACCTGTCAAGAAAATGTCCTGCTCATATTTCACTTAAAATAGGTAATTCTTTTTTATATATTTAGAAGACTAAGCAGGTTTTAAGAACCATAAATATGGCTTGCATTTGGATGTTATTCCCAAGATAATTATCCACATTCACCCTACATTTTTCTCCACTATTATAAAGCAGCCAAAAGTCTCATTTTCATATTCTTGTTGTTGTCATGTGACAAAAAAGTTATATTATCTGAAGGGATAGTTCACACAAAAAATTACAAATCTGTCATAATTTCTGTCATCACCTTCATGTTGTTCCAAACTTTTATGAATTTCTTCCTTCTGTGGACCATAAAAGAAGAAATTGAGAAATAGTGAATTTTTTTGTTCATACAGTGGAAGTCAATGGTAACCAAAATGTTATGTTATGTTATGTTCATTCTTCATAACTATCCCTTGAAATTGATACTGATATAATTTGATTGCTTTATCGAATTTGATTATTTTTACTGATACTATTTGATTTTAATTTATGCTTATTTTAATTTAATAATGCTATTTTTACTGCTATACAACAAATATTACTAATATATAATGGGAGTAGTGAAAGAGGAAATGCCAGATGCATTACAGTAATGAAAACTCAAAGAATGAAATATAAATGCGTTTAATTATTCTGAAAATAATTTCACAAGTGCAAGAAAGACTTTTAGTCTTAATGCCTTAGATTTAATGTCTTTATACAAAATGTTTTATTTTTTAAGAATTATAAATTACTGGGGCATACACATATCATATCATTTGTCATATCATAACTTTGGGGTCAGTAAGATTTTTTAATGTGTTTGAAAGAGGTCTCTTATGCTCACCAAAGCAGAATGTATATATAATGATATGTACATTTATGTATGTTTATTTACATATATATATATATATATATATAATTTTCAGAATTTTCGGCAGCCATTACTCCTGTCTTCAGTGTTACATGCTCCTTCAAATATCATTCAGATATCCTGATTTGGTACTTAAGAAACATTCTTGTTTTTATTAATGTTGAAAACAGTTGTGCTGCTTAATTCTGTCATAGAAAGTTCAAAAGAACAGCATTTACTTAAAATATATTTTTAACAATATAAAAGTCTTTACTGTCGCTTTTAAACAATATGTTCTTGCTGAATAAAAATATTAATGTAAAAATCCCCAAATTTTGTGTATTCTTGACATGCTTTGTCAGATTCACTAAATTATTGACGGCACATACTTGGGATTGAGTATAGTGCTATTTTAAATGGTTTGTTATTGTCGTAATGCCACTAATAACCTTTCACAAACTCGATTTGCACTTTAAGCACAATAACCCCGTTGTTCTATGGTTCTATTCAGCTAAGGGCCATTGACACTGATTTGAGATGCGACTGAATGTGAACTGAATTGATTCAGGATATGAACTGGATTAGGGGGAAATCATTGTCATCATCCAAACAATCAGCCTGTAATAGGACAGGAAAGGATGTCATTGATCCTAGTTCCTAGAAATGTGAATTAAATGAAAATAGCAGAGCTGGAGTGTGACCGTTGCCGTGTTCTGATTGGTTCCAGGTGGACCGGACAGAGGTGATTCGCAGCAGCATCAGTCCGGTTTTCTCCAAAGTCTTCACCGTGGACTACTATTTTGAGGAAGTGCAGCGCCTCCGTTTTGAGCTTCATGACATCAGTAGCAACCATAATGGACTCAAAGAGGCTGACTTCCTGGGCGCCATGGAGTGCACACTCGGACAGGTGACTGCGAGGGACGGCAGAGTGTACACTTAACGGAAGCGCAGTAGGGAAGATGAAAGCTAGTGAATGGAATGAGTGCGTGAGAGAGAGGATGAGTACATGAGAGGGATTGTGTGGATTCAAAAGGGTAGCAGAGAGCTCACTGGAGCAGGAAGGTGCCTGGTGGGCAGAGGGACTATTACTTCAAAGTCTTTTTATCTAGTCTATGATAAAACAAGATTACAACCAGTGGTATATAAAGGAACATTAGAGGGTAAAGAGGACTTGAGGGAAGGAGAGGGTGAGGACCTGAAGGATTTGGATGCTAACAACAGACACTTATTTTGTTTCAGGCTGTTAAACGGATAAGTAGTAAGTAGTGAGACAATTGTTACCATATTGTCAATTTTCGTAGTTCGTTCTCACCACTTACAATTGACAAGTAGTGTATATTATGTGGTTTGAAAATGCTTAGTTTTGTGAGTTGAAAATGCTAGATAAGTACATTTTGGAAGGATTTTGTTTTCAGTGCTTCTTGTTGGTTAATTGGATAAAAATATCCAATTAAATTTTACCATCTATAATATGTGGACGTGTAAATATAGCCTTGTTGGTGAATGTGGTGCGCCTTGTGCGTTTAGCTTTGGCTTAGTTTATTAACTCAATATTTTGATGCTGTAAAGTTGTCACATGGCTTATAAGATCTGTAGGTTCCTTCATCATTGAAGTTATCAATAATTTGTGGAAAAACCTTCTGCCTCCTGGTGGATTATCCATGCTCTTCATGAAGTAGAATGACTTTTAATATAATTTCCGATGTCTGCCTCCTTGTTGCAACACATATCTTGTTGCTGCCAAATTAATTTAATATATTAAATATTCATTTATTAAAATCAATATTTGTAATTTAACTTTGTTTCATCTTTTGTTGGCATTAAAACTTTAAAATCTGGACGGTGCTTGCTTGTTTGTTTTAAAAATAAAAAAGTTCTATTTTTGGCAAATATAAAAGCCTTTTCACACCAAAAGTGAAATGAATAAGCCTCAGGCTGAAGAGAAAGTACATTTACGTCCGTACAGTAGAATGCAGAAGGTTGTGCTGCTTAATTCTGTCATAGAAAGTTCAAAAGAACAGCATTTACTTAAAATATATTTTTAACAATATAAAAGTCTTTACTGTCGCTTTTAAACAATATGTTCTTGCTGAATAAAAGTATTAATGTAAAAATCCCCAAATTTTGTGTATTCTTGACATGCTTTGTCAGATTCACTAAATTATTGACGGCACATACTTGGGATTGAGTATAGTGCTATTTTAAATGGTTTGTTATTGTCGTAATGCCACTAATAACCTTTCACAAACTCAATTTGCACTTTAAGCACAATAACCCCGTTGTTCTATGGTTCTATTCAGCTAAGGGCCATTGACACTGATTTGAGATGCGACTGAATGTGAACTGAATTGATTCAGGATATGAACTGGATTAGGGGGAAATCATTGTCATCATCCAAACAATCAGCCTGTAATAGGACAGGAAAGGATGTAATTGATCCTAGTTCCTAGAAATGTGAATTAAATGAAAATAGCAGAGCTGGAGTGTGACCGTTGCCGTGTTCTGATTGGTTCCAGGTGGACCGGACAGAGGTGATTCGCAGCAGCATCAGTCCGGTTTTCTCCAAAGTCTTCACCGTGGACTACTATTTTGAGGAAGTGCAGCGCCTCCGTTTTGAGCTTCATGACATCAGTAGCAACCATAATGGACTCAAAGAGGCTGACTTCCTGGGCGCCATGGAGTGCACACTCGGACAGGTGACTGCGAGGGACGGCAGAGTGCACACTTAACGGAAGCGCAGTAGGGAAGATGAAAGCTAGTGAATGGAATGAGTGCGTGAGAGAGAGGATGAGTACATGAGAGGGATTGTGTGGATTCAAAAGGGTAGCAGAGAGCTCACTGGAGCAGGAAGGTGCCTGGTGGGCAGAGGGACTATTACTTCAAAGTCTTTTTATCTAGTCTATGATAAAACAAGATTACAACCAGTGGTATATAAAGGAACATTAGAGGGTAAAGAGGACTTGAGGGAAGGAGAGGGTGAGGACCTGAAGGATTTGGATGCTAACAACAGACACTTATTTTGTTTCAGGCTGTTAAACGGATAAGTAGTAAGTAGTGAGACAATTGTTACCATATTGTCAATTTTCGTAGTTCGTTCTCACCACTTACAATTGACAAGTAGTGTATATTATGTGGTTTGAAAATGCTTAGTTTTGTGAGTTGAAAATGCTAGATAAGTACATTTTGGAAGGATTTTGTTTTCAGTGCTTCTTGTTGGTTAATTGGATAAAAATATCCAATTAAATTTTACCATCTATAATATGTGGACGTGTAAATATAGCCTTGTTGGTGAATGTGGTGCGCCTTGTGCGTTTAGCTTTGGCTTAGTTTATTAACTCAATATTTTGATGCTGTAAAGTTGTCACATGGCTTATAAGATCTGTAGGTTCCTTCATCATTGAAGTTATCAATAATTTGTGGAAAAACCTTCTGCCTCCTGGTGGATTATCCATGCTCTTCATGAAGTAGAATGACTTTTAATATAATTTCCGATGTCTGCCTCCTTGTTGCAACACATATCTTGTTGCTGCCAAATTAATTTAATATATTAAATATTCATTTATTAAAATCAATATTTGTAATTTAACTTTGTTTCATCTTTTGTTGGCATTAAAACTTTAAAATCTGGACGGTGCTTGCTTGTTTGTTTTAAAAATAAAAAAGTTCTATTTTTGGCAAATATAAAAGCCTTTTCACACCAAAAGTGAAATGAATAAGCCTCAGGCTGAAGAGAAAGTACATTTACGTCCGTACAGTAGAATGCAGAAGAAGAAATTTCAACACACTTCAGCAATAAAAAAAGACACTTTCAAGACAATTTTTGCTTATTATTATTATGGTTCAACTGGATCATCGAAGGTCAGAAGCAAAGACATTGGTTAATAGAATGGGATTAAATACATAAAGGACATCTGTGTTGTTTAACATTTAATTATTGCAGGTTTGCGTCATATTCTGAGTTGCATTATTTTTATTAATTTTGAGGAATACTGAATCTGTTTTTTTGATGAGTGAGATGAATTAATGCATATTCATATTTATTTTAGATCTACAGTAACATCTTCTGATTTCTCAACATGGGGACAGGAGAGCTGTCAATCAATAAATTGAAATTGAAAAAGTAACTCAGATATTCTCTTGTAAATTAAAAAGTAATGTTACTTTAGTAGCTACTTGAAAAAAGTAAACTGATTACGTAACTTGTGTTACCCCCAACACTGAATATTTTTTAAAAAGAACACAAAACATTCCATTTATTTTGTCTAAAGCTTCAATAAACTAGAACAAGAATATTTCATATTATATTAAAAAATTAATTTTTTTAACTATTATTTAATTTACCATTTTTATATGAATTTAGTCAGATTACACTAAAAGAAAAAAATCATTAGAAAAATTAAAGACGTACTAGTAATTTAACATTATTCGTTATATTTATGAATATTTCCTTTAACCCTAAAACACAATACAGTGCGTAATTCAACATAAAGTTAAAACACCTGTGAAAAAAAAATTCCTTCATATTTAGGTTTGTTAGGGTTTACAAGTCTGGTTTGCTGTCTCTATGCATGTATCTGTTTGCCTCATGTCCTCTCCTCTTCCTTCATAGATTGTATCACAGAGAAAACTGTCCAAAGCTTTATTGAAGCAAGGAAACACAGCTGGCAAATCATCTATCACAGTAAGAATAGACGTCTCACCCCCAATGAATTCACACTGCAAGTTTATGCTCTTTTGTCATAACCTGAGCGATGACTTCTTGGAAACCACAGGTCACAGCTGAAGAGCTGTCTGGGAATGATGATTACGTGGAGCTCGCCTTCAGTGCCAAGAAACTGGATGACAAGGTGTGACATCTGGATAACTGCTCAACAGACACTTTGCAACAATATTGAGACAAACAATAACAAACTGATCTTTATCTGTTCTCTTACTGTTTTATTACTCTGGTTTATGAATAGACAAAATTCAAATGGAGCAATGCATCATCTACTACTTTATTAAAATATACTACTATTTTTTATTTTTCATTAAAAAATTAGGACAACTTTTAGTCTAAATACACGGTGTACCATTTAGAAAAACAAGAAACGATGTGCATTCAGATATAGTCTCTAAATGAGAAAAGTCAGGATGCAATAATAATGTATGTATAGTGTATGAATCTATCAAAAAGTTCATTAATGCTCAAGTGTGTCATTTCTGCACCGCTAGCGCCACCAAATGAAAATGCTTTTCAAAAGAGCTTCCAGAACACTTATGTTTGTAGATGTTATATTTACTTTACAAACAAGAATAAGTTTGATTCTTTCTTTGTTTAGGACTTTTTTAGCAAGTCGGATCCATTTCTGGAAATCTTCAGAGTGAATGATGATGGCACAGCATCACTGGTGCACAGAACAGAGGTGAGATTGATAGATGCACACAAATGCATATGAAATACATATTGAAGAAATATAATGTACACATATCAACTGGTAATTTTTCTGTTTATAGACCATTATGAACAATCTGAGTCCTGTCTGGAAATCATTCAAAGTTTCTTTAAACACACTCTGCAGTGGAGACCATGAGCGGGAGTTAAAGGTATGACAGATATTTTGACTATATCCTTTATTAATTTATGAAAAACCTAACCAGTTGCGTACTGTTGTGATAACTAGAGAAATATTTCTGACATAAAACAGTGAATCAATCAGGTATACTGCAGCAATGTGATCACAGTCCATATGAGGCTTTTATGTCAGCGTAGGGTTTTTTTTTTTTTTGCTCTTTATTCTGGTCTCAGCGTGACCATTTGGTCACATTAGATTAGAATCATCTTGGCAGATTTATGTAATGGCAGTCCTATCCATTCTGCCTCACCATTGCAGCTGACATCTTTCATAGTGAGCTAATTACTGAGCGGGTAAATGGAGCCCGGCTGTTTGGAGGGTCCTGACAGTTTCCTGAGAGGAACAGACACGGTGGAACCAACGACAGAAATTGATGTTACTGCCCTTTAGTCCATTCAAGTCCACACAGTCCTCCTGGGTTGGAGAACTTTCTGTCTTTGGGTCCAGTTGTAAAAAAGAACACTAATAAGACTCTACGGAGAGCAAGAAGTCCTGTTATTTGAACGAAACGACAGATTTGGGATAAGAAAGTTAAATTAGACTCAAAGTATCATTCCGTTGACTTCCCATACTGTATGTGCTGTGGCATTCAAGTCCTTTTTAATATTCTGTATTCTTTTTAATATTCTGTATTTTCGTTTCTGTGTTTAACATAGCAAATTTAAACTGTTTTATTGACTGCTGTTCAAAAGTTTGAGGTCAGTGAGATATCTTTTTTTTTTTTAAAGAAACTTCTATTCAGCAAAAATTCATTACATTTATCAAAACAAAAGTGACCGTACATTTTTTTTTACATTGTTTCATATTCTATTTCAAATAAATGATATTCTTTTCAACTTTCTATTCATCAAAGAATCCTGAAAAGAAGTCATCGCGTTTCCACAAAAAATTGAATATATTAATAATAATAGGAAATGTTTCATGGCATATTATAAAGAATAATGGCTGCTGAAAATTCAGCTTTGCCATCACAGGAATAAATTTCATTTTAAAATATATTAAAATAGAAAACGGATATTTTAAAATGCAAAAAAAAAAAAAAAATCACAAAGTTTTTCACAGTTTTTACAGTATTTGTCATCAAAAATAAATGTAGACTTGGTGAGCATAAAAGACTAAAAAGATTAAGCATTTTAAAATCTATAACTAACCCTAAATGTTTTAATGGAAGCATACTTGTGAGATTACATACAGTGGGTACGGAAAGTATTCAGACCCCCTTAATTTTTTCACTCTTTTTTTACAATCTGATTTAATATTAATGTACAGTTTATATGAATTTATATAATACATAAAGTATTTATTAAAATGAAAACACAAAGTTACTGAACATTTTTGCTCAAAAAGTTCTGTAATGGATGTTTTCAAAAACGTTTGACCAGGAATAATCTTTCTTTTTTTTTTTTTTACCAAATATAGAAATGAAAAAGCTTATATAATGTTTAATATAATTATGTGAGTCTGTTGTCAGATGTTGTTTTTTCATTGCTACTCTGTTATTTCTATCTTAATTCTTTTAAAATACATTGATATTGCCATGAAAATAGCAATAAATCTGGTATGGCAATAAAAACAAGCAAAGACAGATTATTACGATACATTGCAGTTGTTCAGTAAAAACTGTGCAGCATTGAAATCAGATCTATTCCATTTAATAATTTACCTGTAGTGTGTATGTGTGTGTGTGTGTTTGTAGTATCACCCTTTAACTACTTTTTAATAGCATGAAGTTTGTATGTGAGTGTGTTTGCTTATTTATTCATGAAAGTTCCTAAAATTGTATTACTTTCCTTCTCTTCTCTTTAATCTCTCTCTCTCTGTCACACACACACACACACATTCAGATCTCAGCAATGCAGGTGTAAGGTCCTCATTGGTATGCCAATGCAGAAGTGGGGATAGGAGAGCTGTATCGTAATAATCTGTCTTTAAAGTTGCTTCTCTTTGTATTCTCATAACGGCGCAGAGTTTAGATGAGATTTAGTCATAGCACTACACTGAGATTCTGCACAAAAGCTGTATGAAAGAAAATCATTTTTGATACATTCACATACTGTGCAGGTGACATTTCAGAGAAAGTGAAAGATGCAGGGCAAGAAAGCGCTAATTAAGCGCTAATGTCTCAGTATGTTTAGCTGAGAGCTGAATCCTTTTATCAGCTCCATGCTGGCACTTTACGTTGCTGCTCTCAGCTTTACTTGAAAATAACCACCACTTACAACAAATTAACTAATGCTTTAAATGCTTGGAAACAAGCCACTTTGAATTAAGCCTTTGGCAATTATACTAAGTGGCTGAATGAGCAGTTGTGCAACATGTTCATTTAAAGCTGGTTAAAAATGACATTTTCAATCTAAAATTCTCAAACATTGTTGATTTGAATCCAAACATTTATAGGTGATGTTGGACAGTCAAGGACATTTATAGTCAGACAGATGGGAAAACAGTTATTTTAGGTGACATGTCCCTGAATAAACATGAACTGGTTTGTTTAATATTCATGACTTCTTTACGCTCAACGCACTACAGACAGCAATGTTTCCGCAGTGAAAACACACACTGAATTCAGATTCACAGAGTTACAGAGCCAATGCAGTTAAGTTGTATTTATGTTGTATAAGACTAGGCAGTTAAACCTTCTTGTTATGTTGAGAGCTCACTATCACTCTGCTGTTTTGCTGGGTTAAATTTCTCCATTCTTTCATGCATATCTGAGCCCCATCTGTTGTAAAGCATGATACAATTGCATAAACCCATTTATGCAAATTATGTCATAAAATTTTTCTAGAAGAAAAGAGTTATGGAAAGTACATTTGTGAGGTAACTTACAGTAAGTGGGTTATGTTTTATTTAACTCATAGCGGGGTAAACAATGTGTTTATGCAGATTTAAGCTCTTTATGAAATCTTTGACAAATATTGATGTAACTGGCTCAAAGACAACAAAAATTGTGCAATAATATTTTAAAATCTAGTTAGGAAAACTTTGTGTGCAGTGTGCATCTACATGCAGTTTCCTCACTATATATGTTGTTAGAGTGGTTCTGAACTGGTAACCATTACTGTGAAATATAGTTTTGTTTTACTTACTCATTGTTCATATAATTAAAGATACATATTCACAACATAGCTCTGTTATTAGAATCAATTAATAATATATTCTAAAAAACATAAAAAAATGTACAAAATGTTTTATTTCAGGAGCCTTTATTTTTGTTTTGTTTTGTTTTGTTTGTCTGAAGCCGGGGTAAAAGAAATGCACCCGTATCTCTTCATCCATCTTTTGGGGATGTTTCCCAACTTTATGCAGAGTAGAGGAGCAGGTGTGAGTTTTGCATGTTGAGTTATTGTTGGTTCTCACTTCTTTAGCTGAAAAGTCAACCACAGCATCTCTGTATTAATATTTTAAATGGCCTTCAAATTTTGATTACCACCCGCTTATGTCTCAGCATCAATGATTCATTAACAGCAATGCTACAGTGTGCTGTCTTCCTGCCACTCCTGCCACACACCCACATTCACAATGACACATATACACACACACGCTCCAGCATACCAACAAGAGTGTTAAATCTTTAAATCAACAACATGACACAAGGTATTAAAACTGAAGAAGTGTTACTATAACAAGATGACCTGCTGCTGTTTGTCTTTACATTTGTATGACTAGTAAGTGCTTTCACAATCCTTTATTACTTCTTGAAACTTTAGGCTCCTCGGCTTAGACTCCTCAGCTTGTTCCAGATTCAGCACCAACTAGATAAAAGATCTTCTTAATGAACTGTGACATTTCAGTCTCATTGTAGCAAGAAAAGCTGATGCTGTTTTCATTTTGCCTGTACTTGTGGAAGTTATTAATTATTTCAGCTCTTGGTGTTTAGACAAACTGTTTACTTTGTGTGCATTTTTACGTACAATCGATAATTTCTGAGACACTGCTATTAATGCTTCTTGAACATTAAAACAAGACTTGGATTAAAACAAATGTTTGTGTACGAGTTGTGGAGGTTAAAGGAATAGTTCATCCAAAAATGAAAATTCTGTCATCATTTACTCACCTTCATGTCTTTGCAAACCTGTATAAATGTATGTCTTCTGTTGAACACAAAAGAAGATATTTTGAAGAATGTGGGTAATCGAACAGTTGATGGTATCTATTGACCTACTGTCAATTGTTTGTTCTATCAACATTCTTCAAAATATATTCTTGTGTGTTTAACAGAATAGACTTAAGCTTAAAGTAATACAAATTGTATTTTTATTATCCTATTGGCAAAATAGTCTTACTAAATTTTACAACAGGAAAAACTATTTGCTAATGTGGTCAGAAAAACAAACATAATTCAGAACTCCTACAAACAATCTTAATTTTTTATGCAATTTTGCTGTTTAATTTTTGCAGGTGTATCATAAGTAGAATTATAGCATGAGTTTTTGTTTGTACTGTATGTTTCTATGTGTGTGTGTGTGTGTGTGTGTGTGTACCTGTTTTTCTTAAACAGGTACACACACACAGTTTCTTTAGACTTAAAACCTGAATACACACAGACTCATGTCACGGTGGGGACCTAAATTGAGGTCCCCACGGGTTAACAAGCTAATAAATCACACAGAATTAAGTTTTTTGAAAATCTAAAAATGCAGAAAGTTTCCTCTAAGGGATAGGTTTAGGTGTAGGGCAATAGAATATACGGTCTGTACAGTAGAAAAACCATTACGCCTATGGAGAGTCCCCACAAGATTAGCAAACCAGACGTGTGTGTGTGTGTGTATGTGTGTGTATAAGTCAATGTGACCTTTAGTACTGCTACAGAAAACTACTTAGCACAGGATATTTATCACGGTTCTTTAGGGACTGACGTCTCACACCCTCATGCACAAAGCTAAAATTATTCACAGATTTATTTACTGCATTAAGCATGTGGCTCAGCATAAAAAAATGTGGAATAAATCAAATAGCAGTTATGTTTTAATTTATTCAACTGTATTATAAATATATGATGCATATTGTCAATTCTGTGTGATTAGCTTTTTTTTTTACTACACTTTTTTTTCTTGTTGTAGTGTACAGTATGGGACTGGGATTCAAATGGCAAGCACGACTTTATAGGAGAATTTCAAACCACCTTTAAGGAGATGAAGGCAGCGATGGATGGGAAGCAGGTATAAGCATACACACACACACAGTCAGAAAACCGACCCTACTTCCAAAATGTAGATTTCCAGCTCTCATCAACACAAAGTACTTTTTTGCATTTTTGCAAGTACTGAATATTCCCTGAAGCACATGGAACTGAGTAAGGCCAGTAGCATACGTCATAACTCCAGCTTAAGGATATGTGCAAAGAAGAAAGCCTTCATTAATAAAAGCTCATATCACATCTTGACTGGAGCTTGCCCATGGGCATGTGAACGGTTGCGGAAATTCAAAGAAGATTCTGTGGTCTGATGAGGCCAAAATGTAACCATTTGAGTCACAATTCAAAGCACATGGAGTTTTTGTAAACATTTTGCCGTTCACAAATAGTTCCTATCCAACCTGATGGGTCTTCAAGGGTTTTTAGATAATAATTCTGTGATAGAGACTTGCACAAAGCAGCACATTGGTGACCCACCCAGAATACCATAGCAACGGTATAACAACAACATAGAAACAGACTACCCGCATAGCAACACCCTGGCAACCACCCAGAGCATCCTAGTGTCACAGCATCAAGCTTTACACAGGCAAGCAACACTCACATTTGGTTGAGAAAATAAAAATGTATCTTTTTGTTCTTAATTAGCATACTTAAAAATATTTTTTCCCTTCATCAGGGAGTGCATTGCATCAGTGAGTAAATATCTAAGTACAATTATATTTTCTACATTCCAGTTCCTCATGTAGGTTCCATGAATCTCTTTATTTTCTGTCGAGAGCCTCAGGTCTGTTTATGCAGCGGAAACTCAGTCAGTGTGAAAGCTCAACGTGAGCCTGCTCTTACGGTTATGCTGCGTTTTCTCTTGCAGACGGTGTGAAACAAGCCTAACACTTACTTTTTTATCTTTATATGTCTCACTTTCTCAGTTTTCATCTCCTATTCTCTACTCATCCTGCCTGTATCGTAACAGACACTGAATTCATCATGTCATCTTCCAGTCTGTTTGCATCTCTCACTGTTTTTCTTTTGAACTTATTGTCCTTGATTTTATAGAGAATTGTGATCTATTGTCACCATGGACACAATGTTACCTGCAGAGAAACAGAGAGAATAATTAGAGGTACTGTACGGAGTAGGAGGGAAAGGACACACCAAGGAATAAACTGCGAATAGAGCAATAGAAGAATAAAGAAAAAGCGGCAACAAAAGATGGCATGTTTTGACCGTTTAGAGCACTGTAGTGATGAACTGAGTGACTGACTCGCCAACCATGATGTCTCCTGTTAAGTAAACTCTTCTTTCAGAAATTATTTTAATATGCTGATTTAGTGCTGAAGAAACTATTATTATCAATGTTGAAAACCACAGTTTTGTGCCACTTGTACCACTTAATATATTTGAGAAAATTATATATTTTGACACATTTTCGATGAATAGGAAGCTCAAAAGAACTGCATTTATTTTAAATAAAAAAATCTTATATTTTATTCTTCTAAATCGTATGTAGTATGATTATATAGTAAAAAATCTAATGTCACTTTTGATCAATTTAATATATCCTTGCTAATAAAATCATTAATTTCTTAAAAAATACACACACACACACACACGTGTATATATGTATACATATATGAACACACACAACTAGTGAGACTAGCAGAGTCAAGCATTATTTATAGTCTTATACAGATATATTTTGCTTCAAAAAGGACACAATTGGTAAATCATTTATTTTAAACAATTCAGTTTTAATTTTGTCTCAATAGAAGCAAATCTCTGCATCCCTCTAGTGGGTGATGTTTAGGTGTCCACATACTTATGGCCATAGAGAGTATGCACATACACAATGGTATCGTGCTGCATACACTCTTATGCATCAGTCAGTAGCGTCTGAATGAGTTCACTCTGTTCCGTCGCTTCTCTCAGTTGAAATCTATTACCGGCTGTGCAGATTAGTAGTCATTGTGTTGCTTTTAATTCCATTAACTTCATATTCACCATCATCCCCTTGAATGCTCAGGGGAGCAAAGTCGACAGGCTTCAACATACGCTTCTCATTGCAATTGTTAATCAGTGGAATTCCTCGTCTGTCAGCACATGCTGATTGCACTGCTAGCGTGGTTCACAAACAGGTGCTTCATTTTCAGCAGGATACTCGGATGCTTTCAGTCTCTAGTGGTGGAATAAATCTTCTCGCATGCTCTTCAAGACCTGATTTGAGATCTTTAGAACAGGCTGAGATAATTGCGCTTTCATCATTTAAAAAAAACATCACAGATTTGAGACAGATCTTTGGATTTTTGCTATTATATATTATATATTGTATTCACATCAGAAATGTAAAATGAATAAAGAATTATTTGGCTTGGATGGACATATCTTTTTTGTTCTGACAGGCATCATCACAAGAGAAACTACAAACTGATCTTGGCCAAAAGGTGACTTATCAACACTGACATGCTTGTGAAAGTCTCGCCTGCACTGCTATCTTACAGCCAATCACTCTCACATTTTCTGAAAGGCTCAACTGCAGCCACTGGGTTATGCTGAGTCTTTTAGACATCCGTCTATCATTGTGCCTCTCAGCCTGTGGGCATCTTCCTCTCATACAGATATATCACAAGCCCACCTCAGATAAAATACCTGCAAGCCCAAGCAATTCATCTTGTGGCTCAATGGAATTCAATACAGAGCTGAATGAATGGCATAGTGCTGAATTGTTGTCTTACTGTTGTACATGTTTAACATGTTTCTAACAGATCCAGTGGGAGTGTATTAACCCTAAGTACCAAGTGAAGAAGAAGAATTACAGAAATTCTGGAATGGTAATTCTTACCATGTGCAAGGTGGGGAATTCCTTCACTTTATGTCTGATATATAGCACCATTATGACTGCCCCTGTAATCACAGCACAGTCATTACTAGAACTTTTCTTTTTTAAATGCACACACACACATACATACTGTATATAGTATGATATCTGCTCTATTAAATGGGTTGGTCACTTTCTGACATGTAAACTAAGTGTAATAATTGACTTCTGTGGGTGCTGTGCAGTGATATTCACAGTAGCTATTGTAGGTGAACAGGTATGTTGTATCATAGCTGTTACTTACTGTATTATTGTACACTTGAAATTATCTGTTAACCAGTCAGTATCCAGGACCAGAACTATCAGTTTAATAAGTGTTATTTTATCTCTGTTTCAGATCATAAAGATGCACTCTTTCCTGGATTACATCATGGGAGGATGTCAGATTCAGTTCACAGTAAATAGTTTTGGAAGACATTTTATCTTAATGTAATTTTAATCTATAAGCTAAACTAAACTCCACTGATAGCAAGAGTCGATTTAGGCTGGATTTTGTAAGTTGTGTTGTCTGGTGGTTTAGCTTCTAGCTGTGTGTGTTTACACATTTTGTGTTCTCTGAATAAAAATTCCATGATTATTTACTCGTTTTAATTTTATTCCAAATCCTATGACTTTATTTCTTGCATAGAACACTAAAGTGAAATTTTGAAGAATTGTACTGCTCGCTCTATTTCCATGCAGTTACAATGAATGGAGACTGAAGCTTTCAATGTCCAATTCATGAATAATTGATTATTTAGATTCAGATCTTTTCAATTAATAATTTTACTCAGTTCACAAAACCATCCTGAATGAATCAGAATCACTAATTTGATTGCAGTGGTTCATACAATGTGTTTATAGGTCTATGAGAATAATTACTTACATTTTAGTCTTAAGTTATCGGATAACTTGAAATATGGTGTATATACATTGAACACTTTTATGGTATTTTTTACATCCTTTTTGAGGCTAGAAAGTTGAGGGTAAGTAAATAATGCCATAAGGGTAAGTAAAAAAAATTTACATTTTTGGGTGAACTATCCCTTTAACAAGTGTTTTTCTGCAGGTGGCTATTGATTTCACTGCCTCAAATGGTGACCCTCGAAACAGCTGCTCCCTCCACTACATCCACCCTTACCAGCCCAATGAGTACCTCAAAGCGCTGATCGCTGTTGGGGAGATCTGCCAGGACTACGATAGGTGACCCACCAATCAATCCCTCAATCAGTCAGTCAGTCAACCAATAAAGCAGTTAATCAATCAAGCAACCAGTCAAGCTCAAGTCAATCCCTGAATTTTGCCAAATTAAATTTAATGGACTACTCCATCACAAAATGTTTACACCAGTTATTTTCTCAGTACAGGCAATTAACCAAACTTTCAGACTAATCAGGCATTCAGTCTTATGACTGCCAGCACCTGTAGGATGCAGAGATGTCATGTCAAGGATTGTCTTTCTACACTTCAATCACTCTATCGCCCAAGACATCACTTAAGCTCAATTATATTTGACCCCTCATTGCTCATCTCTGGGGCTCAATGCATGCTCATTAATCCTCCCTGCTTCTGATCTGTTTCCAGCGACAAAATGTTTCCCGCTTTTGGCTTTGGAGCCCAAATCCCACCAGACTTCAAAGTAAGTTCATTATTTTTGTATGTAAAAAAAACAACAGCTTTTTTAGTTATACTTTAAGGGCAAACTATTTTTACATGTAATTATGTCTAATTTTGCAGTAGAAAAGTTGTCATTTAAAAAAAAAAAAATTGTTTTTTAAATGATAACACACTTACTGTGATTCTAGTTTTCGTTTGACTGTTAGATTCAGTGCATACTTACAAGTTGAAATTAAATTTACATTTCAGATCAAATATTTATTTAATCCCCTATAACGTTCTTTTTTTAAAGAATGCTTGATTGACTCATCTAAGATTTAACAAACTGAATATGTAACTTGATTTTAAGACTACAAGAAGTTTCCCATACAGTGCAATAAATCGCCATGGAAACCAGAGTGCTCTGAATCCCTCACCATTACCTGACAGGAGATTTCTGAATAATTCATGAACTGCCGATGCCCTTTTACAATAATCACCTCATGATTCCTGCTAATCTATGTATTTTTGTTTTTTAAATGATAACACACTTACTGTGATTCTAGTTTTCGTTTGACTGTTAGATTCAGTGCATACTTACATGGAAACCAGAGTGCTCTGAATCCCTCACCATTACCTGACAGGTGATTTCTGAATAATTCATGAACTGCCGATGCCCTTTTACAATAATCACCTCATGATTCCTGCTAATCTATGCCAATCACTCAAAATCAGGTCATCTGATTGGTTGTCATGTTTCAATCAGAGGTCACGGCCGCAGTGTGGTTGGATGTGACTCTAAGAAAGCATTTTAGTTGACCGCAGTCCAATCCACAGGGAAGCTCCATGATTTATGCATAGTTTTATCCCTTCCACTGGCTGCAATAACTCTGAATATAATTGAACCATAAGAGCTTATGAATAAAATAAAGAAATTAAATGTTTTAGTTCTTCCAGTACATTATATGAACTTTAATATCATAGTTTAATATCACCAAAGTTTAAATCAATTGAGTCTTTTTCTCCATGCCATTTGAAAAGCAATTTGTTTCTAAAAGCATAGACTCACTCTGCCATCACTGACACTGATCTCTCAGTTTTTGTCGCTTAACTATGTCTTTTTTCCCTCCTCAATTCAGGTTTCTCATGATTTTGCTGTGAATTTTGATGAGGACAACCCAGAATGTGCTGGTGAGTCATCAAAGTGTAAACTTCATGCCTTTGCAAGCATTTTTGTTTTTCTAAAAGAAAGTTCAATGAAATGCAGTGCATTCCTACTGTATGAGTCAAACGTCTCCCACACACACTCTGTGGCAAACAGAAGCATAAACTATGAACTTCTTAACTGATGCTCATGCATTTAAATGAGCAAATTCATTAACAAACAAGCACCACATTCAACCTCTAGGTCAAAGGTCATGTTTTAATCTGACATTTTAAGGGTCAGTAAATATAAATGACCACCATTGTAAAAAAATATGACATCCATTCAATGTCACATTACAGAACAGATAATTGGTCAGTGCAGAAAATAAAATAAAACACATCTAAACTTTGTAAGACTTGAAACCATTTAAGACTTGTTTTTAGAGAATATGCTTTTTTTTCTTACTGCGTTGACATTGTTTTATGCTTAAAAAATAATTCCAAAATTTAGTGAGGTTTAAAATTGACTTCATTCAAAATGTTTGAAAACAAGTCAGTGTATTGACCTGATGGGCTATGTGTGTTTTGCAGGTATACAAGGTGTTGTTGAGGCTTATCAGAACTGCCTCCCGAAAATCCAGTTGTACGGCCCCACTAATATTGCGCCCATCATCCAGAAAGTTGCAGACTCTGCCTCTGAGGAGATGCATACCAAAGAGGCCATGGTTAGTCAGAGAGAGAGAGAGAGAGAAAGCACCTTTAATTAGGCCGAAGAGCTCAATTTCTGCACAGCACCATATTGACTCCATCTGCTTTACTGCTGCTCCCTTTTTTCATAAAAAAACCCTAAGTTGCTGATGTATATAAAAAAGAAAGTGTGCAGTGGAAGAGCACAGCAAAATTATTACTTAAAGGGGTCATATGATGCGATTTCAAGTTTTCCTTTCTCTTTGGAGTGTTACAAGCTGATCTTTGTGTTTACAAGCTCAAAACCAAAGAGATATTCTTTATCAAAGTTAAGACTCTGCCACGCCCCCCTAAAATGGCTCGTTCTAACACGCCCCCACATATCTACCTCACTATGTGGAAATATTTGCATAATGCCGCCCAAATGTTCACGCAAAGAAAGAAGGCGTGGTTTCAGTAACCGCAGTTAGTGTTGAAGCAGCATGTCAGGGAGACGCTGTGTGTTTCTAGGCGAAAGCAAAAGCACTTTATTTGGCCTTCCGAAAGTAGATGCATTTAGGAATCTTTAAGATTACTTACAACAGAACAGCAATGCATTTAATGGACGACCGTTTCGTGAACCTAGGAGAGGAGGTAATTCTGACTTTGCTATGATAATCTGGCACTTCTGAATCAGCTACTGTTTTGTTAAGTATTTGTTTAAGTATTTGCTATTGACTGTTCAAATGCGGAGTTTTGCGCATCGTGTGTGCGCGAGCGAGAGAGAGAGAGAGAGAGAGCTCGAGACACATCACAGTGGAGTCAGCTGTCTTAACCGTGGCCTGTGTACTGCACACATACCAGCTTCATCACTGTGTCCGTCACGAGACTCTGTTCCCCTTTCGGGCTCTGTCTTTACATTTATTTTGAAAGATGAAGCTCGCGATTATGGTAAGGGGCATTACATTTCCGACGAGTGCTTGCGGTGTTCGGCCAATCACAATGCACTGGGTCAGCGGGTCAGCTGGAGCAGACTACACTTGTCGGAAGGAGGGACTTTGTAGAAAACTAAGCCTTTGAGAGAGGCGGGGCATAGAGGCATAGAGGTAATGTACAGTATTTAAAAAAATAATGTGTTTTTGAACATTAAAGCATGTCAACATATTCTGTTAAAC